GTAATATCTGGGTATTATGCGATCAATGTGTGAATGAGGATCTTGCAAAGAGAATTAAAATATGTACCTACTGTATTTTGTATGCTGACTTGGTTTGACATGTCTACTCAGGACCGTTCCTGGCGAAGGTGCAGAACGTGCCCCTACACCAGGGCGGCCAGAGATCGTTTATTATATGTAAAACTTGGACTAATAAGCATAATAATCAAAATTATTCCGATGCTTATGAACATTTTAGACCGACAGAATTTAATGAAATTAATTGCATATGTAATCTTTGTAAGAGTACTCGTATACTAGAAGGAACTATCTTTACCCAGATAGCACATTAAGTCGTCTTTAAGGCGTCACTAGGCGTCATGTGCTATCTGGGTATGGACAGTCTAAAATAGCATATGACATTTAGCTATATTTAATGGATTAAATTCCTGTAGGTAATTAATAGTCGCTATTTATCAATCATAACATCATTGTTACGAACATTATGCGTTAGTTTCGTACTTATATGTGGAATAAAATATTCATTTGAAATAAAACCATTCATTTTTTCAGGATATTTGTTTCATTTTACGAAAATAAAAATTAAAGAATATCTTTTATTTTCATAAAATGAAACAAAGATCCTTAAAAAATGAATGGTTTTATTTAAAATGAATATTTTATTATTATTATTATATGTATAAAAGTAAACATTGCATATCAAATACTTAATTGAATAATATTAAATTAGGCGGCCAACAGGCCAGGAACGGTCCTGTGTGTACCTATAGATTTGAAAAGAATTGTATGTTTCGTGTATTTTTAGAACGAAAAAGAGGCTGAACGAAAACAGAACAAGCTTCTGGAAGAAAAAGCTGCAGACGTAACAGGAATTATTGAGAAAGAAAATCAGAAAATTCTTGATTATGCGGAGGAAGTCATCAATGAATCTAGGGACGTGAGACCACTCTATCCAATTCTCAAAGCTGTGGAGGTATAAGTAACGCATACAATGAATCACGAAAGGATTCAAACGATAGAGTTCTGCAGATGTTATACACAGCTGATATGAAAATTTGTTTACAATTTCTGAGCATATGTACTTCCATTATTTTTAAAATTTTTATATACCATTTCACTCAATTGTATGTTCTCTTCGTATGGTTTCATCATTATGATTTAATAATTTCAATATTTGTACGATTCTTACAGTATAGGTACATAGAGAGAATCTTTCATCGTTCGATTCCTTCCATTTATTTTAATTTTTGACACTCTTAATTTATATGAAATGGTGAACAACAAAGTATTTTTCAAAAATCACAATTATATTGTTCTAATAATATTTTGTTTACGTAATTCAGACAGTAATATATTTATTTGCAGAAATGTAAAAAGGAGATGGGTTTGGTCCCACTGAGGAAGAGAGAAGAAACAGTAACAGTCATAGAATCTAAAAAAAAGCAGAGACGTCCCCACACTTGTACGAAGTTTGTACCTGAACATGAAATTTGCTATTTAAAATAATACAAAATATCAAAATATAGAAGTGTTGAACATTTACATTGTATGCATGCAATGACTATTTCTCCAATCATTACTTATCTGTTAACAGAAAATTGATAGAACTGAAGCATGGCTATAAATAAAACAATATACATACACATTTAAACGACATATGTATACATGCGATTTAAAAGCTAAATTATTTGAAATTAGACCATTATTAACGGATATAAGAATTATATTTAAAACAAACTCCTGAATGTAAGTAAAACTTATGAACTAAATACGTAAAAGGTTGCTTTGCAATTTTCACCCTATAGTTTACGTTATTCATCATCACTGTTTTATAACTACTAAATACTTTTACACACAGTAAATCTAGGCGTGAGTCGTGAGAAACTCAAAACAATAGTTAGAGTATTATTTTTACTCCTAAAAAAGTATTTTTCACTACAAATGTTTTTTCCAGCATTATTTACGGTTTTTTTTCATTTATGAGTCGAAACTTTTGACAGTGAAAATGCCCTGAATTCAATTTTACAGCGTGAAATGTTTTCAAAATTAAAAACATTAATCAGCAGTGCAGGTAAACAAATATAACTTCAATAATGTCAGAAAAGATATGTATATAACATGTAAACAATAATTTTTAATATTATTTATTATAAATATTGTTATACGACTGTCTCAAAAAAGAGTTAAACGTGACATCATTGTACAACTTGATCTTAGATCATATCCCAGATAGCACATGACGCCTTGAAAACGCCTATTTTACGGCTATTATAGGTCTAAGGCGCCTTTATGCCGTCTTCAGGATGTCATATGCTATCTGGGATCCCAAATAGCACAAAAACGTCATATATACGTCCGGAGAACGTACTAGAACGTACATTCCGGATGTTCGGTACATTCGTATGATGTCTCGAAAGGATCCACATTCCCCCCTACGTCCTCGTTAAGATCTTTAAATGTCCTAGGATGGTTTTATTTACAAAGTGGAACGTCGTGAGAACGTCCTGTGTCAACATTCTCAGAACGTTTTCCGAATCTGTAAAAGTAACATTTCCTGTACGTTTTGGGAACGTTCAAAGAGTTTTAAAAAACACTATGGTAATGTCTCAAAAGACGTTAAGAAGCATTTTCCAAATGTTTAAAATTACGATTAGATTTCATTCTGTGCAAAATGATTGGAGTAAGTTTAGGTTGGTTTGTATTCGGGGCTGGTCGCGGTGCGTGTCCATATCAGCGGAGACGATATCGCCTTATTCAAGGTTTTCCCCCGTAAAAAAAGAGTTAGTTTGTGTATAATAAATAAAAGATTAAGTTTCCTGTGATTTCCGCCCTTAGTAGAAATTAGATCAACTTAGTTCCTGTTAATAAATAAAAGGTGAAATTTCCTTATAAAATAAAGTTCAAATTTCATTATAATGAAAAATATAGGACTGGAGGTTACGACCTGTGTGTACATTGTGTCTATTTCTATTTTCAAAGCAAAATACTGATTCTGTGTTGATTAGAGACAGTTTATGAAAAAAAATGTTGAGGCATAGAACTTAAATGGCATCAAGGGGTTCCACATCTTATAAGGTACGTGCTTTTTGTGGTTCGAGGCTTTTCAGAGATTTCAAGGTCACCTTGATTTTTTTTAACGGAATGACCTACTTTTTGTACCATAGATCGATAGAGTATCAAATTTTAAGTAAAAATGTGTTGACCTAATTACGTCCTAAACTTAAACCTAAACCTAATAGTTAACGAAATATTTACAAAATAGCCTGAGACACCCTGTATACAGGGTGTTAATTTTAACTGGAGCACCTAAATTGTTTCCGCTACTATTGAAAGTAAGAAAAAATGGCTAAATAGGATGTACATGATTTTAAGGCGTGCCTGTGATGATGATAAAATGTTTTTTACTTCTTATTACGTTTATTTACTTCTGCATTTTTCAAACTGAAGCTGACTTCTTCGCCTTCAAGGTCAGTTCGAGGTGATGGTGTGTAGGTCATTGAATTAATTCTGACGCCGACTACCACATCGCGTAATAAAAAATACATGTTAATATGCAAAAAAAATACGATGATCCTGAAGAAAACCGTTAAAATGACCTTCACAGGATTTTTTTTTATCACCATCAAATGCACGCCATAAAACCATGTACACCGACGAGCAAACTCGACTTCCGCTGGGTAAAAAAGTGACGTAGAAGAAAATTCTCGTACCACTTAGTAAATTAATCGAAGTACTGAAATAAATGATAAATCGAATGTTAATTTGGCATAAATTTCAAAAACTTTCGAAACAAAGTGGTAGTAGCCCGTTTCCCTATGCCACTATTTTCCCTAGCAGAAACGGAGTTTGCACGTCAGTGTATATCCTATTTAATCATTTTTTCTTACTTTCAATAGTGGCGGAAATAATTTAGGTGGTCGAGTTAAAATTAACACCCTGTATATGTATGTACATATACGTGTAGCGTGTAGCGACAACTAGAAGTTTGTTTCGCTTGCCCAGCTGATTATGACATTGCCATGTTTTCACAAGCCACCGAGATACATATCCTGCTGACAGCACAATTTTCTTAAATTACAATTTATTTCTTTAAAACGGTGTTGTGAAAACGATTGAAACATGTCAGATATTTTCATCTATCCGTATACTAGATGCACACAAAAAATAAAAACATTGGTACCATTTCTTCAACATTTCTTCAAATATTTTATCCGTCACGATCGTCTCTTTCCGTAAGAGTACGTGTAAAATCAGTGAACATTAAATTCAACAAACGATTAGTGGATTCGTGTAGAAATTTTTGCAGCAGATCAGAAAGACTAAATGAACAATCTCACAAATTTTTATTGACTTCGTACCATTTTAAAGATAGGTCCGATGCATCCTTAAGTCTTTCTAATATCTAATGCAGAAGGTAAGGACTTTCCATTGAAAAGAGTGATAGAGACCTAGAGTAACTGTGACGAATGTTTTCGAAAGAATATGGTGTTAGCGAACGTGTTAAATTTAAGAAGTATATTTACATGTACTTATTAAATTTCCCTTGTCAGCAAAAATAAAATTGAATGATATATTCGTCCTTTTCAAGTTAATGTTATCTCAATGATAAGTACATCGTGACAGATCGACTTTCTATATAAGATAAAACTATAGTTAAATTTTCTGGCTTAAATATATTATCTAAAAAATTTCCACAAAGTGCACACAGTTTTTTGAACGATAGATTAAGAAAACTTCTCATTCCTTGTATCGATACTATGTCGTCACAGTGTGAAGTAAACGCCACCATACGCCACAGATTATGACACCGAGCAGTTAGGTTAACTATTTTTACAATGAATTCACATTACCGTTTGTGTATACGCATTTTTTAATTTTAATGTTTAATGTTTCGCGAAAATTATTTGTTCCGTATTTCATGCGCAGACGTTAGACCGACATAAAAAAATATCAAAACCGGACCGTTTCGAAATCCACATGTCTGCAGAAAATAAGCGGAAATGAGTGAGTCGGAGAAACCGAAAAAAAAACAGCCACTGCCGCCGTTATTCACCTTCCTAAATGCAGGACTTTCCGGGTACTTAACTCAACGGCAAATATTTCATTAAGTACCTTGCTCTGCCGTAAATGCATCGTGCGTCAAGTGAATTTTTATGTTTGTCGCATTAGCTAAAACTACTTGTATTCACAACGATAAATGTATTAACTATTATACAAAAATAAGGAATTCTGTTTCAATTTACACACATAGTTATTTATAGGTGTATCAGTTCACAAAGTATCGAAATTTAAAATATCGTAGTACTGATCAGTATCAATATTTTGCGAGATATTATTTTATTCAAATTGTCTCTTGAATTGTTTTCAAGTATTCGATGCGTCACATTAAACTGGACAAACTTCTGAGATATTTGCTCGTGATTAGTGCGTTTATAAGTGTATAATAATTCATTTAGCCACAAATATTGCTAAAATAATAGCTTATCTAGTAAAGGAATTCAAAATAACCAAAAATACCACTAGTCTTTCAATTTACATCTTGAAGTATCTCAAATTCACATTCTCTCAAATCTCCTGGAAAATTGCAACTTATTATATAGATTTTAACGTCATATAGGTTGTATCCCGAACTTATTGTATTAATGTGTTGCATACATATGTTGATAAAACTGTCAGTTTTGTAATATAACACAGTGAACTCTAAGTATATTGCCACTCAACATATTGCCACGCGAGGCACGCCCCCTTCATACGTACTTTCGAGCACACAAATTCGCTCTCCCACTACGTTGCGTACGCCGGCGCACCAGCACGATTCAGCTTGTGCGCAGGCGCTGAGGCCGAGGCTATGACAATAGAACTTAGCATGGAAGGGGCTCTAAAGTCATTGCCATTTTAATCCCCTACAGCCCCAACTATGGCAATATATTTACAGCTCATTGTATTTATACTTTAGTTTAAGAGTTTTGGACGGCCAAGGAAATTGAAAAGTAGTCCTATCTAGCGTCTACTGGATATCTAGAAGACACACATGCATACAAAGAATATTTCATAACTAACACTATGTACTATGAAGTGGATACAACTCAGATAACACATGACGTCTTGAAGACGTCCATTTTACGGCTATTTTAGGTCTAAGGCAACTGTAAGCCATTTCCAAGACGTCATTAGGGATCATGTGCTATCTGGGAATAATCAATTCACTATTCTTAAGCCGAAATCGAGACGTATTCTTCTTATTTCATGTTAGAAGAAATACCGAAGCACAAGAGAAGCGAATAAAACGGAAACCCAGATAGCACATGACGCCTAATGACGCCTTGAAGACGGCTTAAAGGCGCCTTAGACCTAAAATAGCCGTAAAATAGGCGTCTTCAAGACGTCATGTGCTATCTGGGAATTGATTTTTCTTTAATCGCTGCTACCGACGACCCAGGCCGGTTAATACTCGAAAACTTGAGTAGAATAAAACGCATAATACTATAAATAATAGAATTAAGTACAAAACTTTCATCTATAATATCGATTTCTATCACAATTCTTCAGTATGGCTGCAACCTGCGTGGTTCATCCTATGGATGTAATAAAAAATCGAATTCAACTGCAGCAAGAAAAAACGTCGTTCGGAGCCGTAATCAGATCTGTGTATAAAAACGAAGGGTTTTTGAAATTCTATTCTGGACTTAGTGCTGGCCTTGTACGACAGGCAACGTATACCACCGTAAGACTTGGTATTTACAATCAACTGCAGGAGTACTGGAAGTGAGTTAAGAATGAAATACTATTATCGTCTCAGTTTCTATATCTGCTGGATTAGAAAATAATGCTATTTATCTGATCGTTATGAAATGCATTTTAAATATTACAATAATATTAGCGTAAGGTCAGCATATATTGTGCGGATTAGACTATGGATGTTCGTGCAAATTTACAATTGAAAGGCTCAGTGGAAAAGAGGCACATGCCACATCTATGTAGATTTTTTATTTTTTGCACCATCAACAAGCCATTAACAATCTAGCGTCCATTCCATGCAGGGATCCTAACCGCTGCCTAGATCAGTGACCCAGATAACACATAACGTCTTGAAGACGGCTTAAAGGCGCCTCAGGCTTTAAATAGCCGTAAAATAGGCGTCTTCGAGGTGTCATGTGCTATCTGGGGATTAGTGGAACTGGAGTCTCCCGGGAGAGGGGATTTCGGTATCAAGGCCATGAGCCGGGCGATTGATATGACCAGCCTACATAAAGACCAAGACAAGACTACCTACACAAGAATATATTTAATATTACACAACAATCTATTTGTCATAATTAATTATTACCAGACAGAGGCATCCCGAAAAACCGAATTTCGGGATATTGGCACTCATGGCAGGTACGGCAGGGGCCGCGGGAGCCTTTGTTGGTACACCGGCAGAAGTTGCCCTTGTAAGAATGACAGCTGACGGCAGATTACCAAAAGGTTTTTCATACTGTACCTTTATTAATCATACGGCATCACTGTTAGAATAAAATTATGTTAAATCCCAAAGAGCACATGACGCCTTGAGGACGGCTTAAAGGCGCCTTAAGACCTAAAATAGACGTAGAATGAGCGTCTTTAAGGCGTCATGTCCTATCTGGGTGCATACTTATTTTAATTGATCAAATTTTTGTATTTTTACTTTATCTTCTTATTTGAATGTTTCATCTATTTTAACATCGTATATACTTCGTTCTATATAGACCAAAGAAGAAACTACAAAAACGTATTTCATGCGTTCACGTCGATATCTAAAGAAGGAGGAATTACTGCTCTTTGGAGGGGAAGCGTGGCGACAATGGGACGAGCGATCGTTGTTAATGTATCTCAACTAGCAACTTATAGCCAAGCCAAGTTCTTAATGGCCACAAAATGTATTATGCTACCTAAACAATTGTTTATCTTTTACACTTGATTTACACATATTCTCTGTACTTGAAACCTTCTCACGTTTCACAGAGAAACTTTGAGTAAAACTATGTCTATGGTAACGTTAGTTTTTCACATTTCTCAATATTTCAGGCATTATTGATAAGTTACGAATACATTCATATTACATTGTTATAAAAGATTTTTATGTGTTCTGTATATATTTAAAATACCATAAACAAATCTTTTTGTACGTATTTAAAGAATAATGACGTAACATACAAAATAATTAATTCTGTAATTAATTAAAATTGTAAAATATTTATTGTGCAGTCAACTTGAAGGAAGGTCTACTACTGCATTTTTGTGCATCCATGTTGTCAGGATTCCTCACAACCTTCAATAGTATGCCATTTGATATAACCAAAACAAGGTAAAATTATATTGCTAACTTTACAACTTTTATTATAATGTGATATAATTAAAGTTATTTATTTCTAACTTAACTGAATATTTATTAAATCGTAATAAACTGATTCTTCAAACATAACAGTTATGAAGAGACTGCAGATTTTATGCATTTATAGCCTGTAGTGCTCTGTGAAATACAATATAAGACAAAACTTTCAATTTTATTCTGAACTCAATAAAATACTTAAGAGGAAAAATAAATTTCTACGATTGCTCTTGTCTTATAAATTACTTTAGAAACTTTTATTTTGCATAAAAATCCGCAGGCTAGTTATGAAGCTGTTTTCAAAATAAAAATTAATTCTTCTAACAGTGTTGATTTTGTGTAATGTACGCTTCAGGTTTTAGTATAATTATTTCTTTACGCGAGTTTTAATTCAGTACTATTAATAAATCTCTCTGAACAAATTTTGTAAATATTGTCGTTGAAATTTCAGAATACAAAACTTGAAAAGTGCAGGAAAAACACCTAGTATGATTGTAATGATGGCGTCTATAATGAAAACGGAAGGTGTGGTAGCGTTGTGGAAAGGATTTTGGCCTACTTACTGCAGAATAGGGCCACATACAGTTTTAACGTTTATAATTAACGAACAAATCGTAAAGCTTTATAGGCTGTGGGCAGATCAATAGTTAAGTACCTGAAGAAAAATAATTTTAATGTGCTCGTATTTGTGTACACATGCGATGTGTTTAATTGAAATTTGTTATAGAAATGAACAATTAAGTGCTATATCGTCAGAAAGTGCGTTGATACTGAAATGTGATCGTAAAAGGTGCAGTGAGAAATTTAAGCAACAGCTATACGACTGTGGAAAAAAGTGCAAATTTCTGGCAATAAATATAGCCAAAACGTTGGTATGTACTTGTAATCATTTTATTTCAATTTTCTGCAAAAACATGTTCAAATAATTTAGAAAAATTCTCTTTATTTATTCATTTGTAACTCGTACAGAATCTATTAGTACTTCATGCATGAGGAAAACTCTCAACAGTGTATTTTCTTTCCATGTGTTGTTATGCTTTACGTTTGTATAGTTTTTTTTTATTAGTATTATTTTTATTATATAGTTCTGTTCAACGTTGAGTAGATTGTTAGCCAGTTTATTAGGGTGGTCTTGGAATCTGTTATTGTTGAAAATAAAATCAATCGTTATTGAATCAGTTTTTGTGTTCCTTTATTTCATTATTTACATGATTTCCATTTGCTTATAGATAACGTGTAATATATCTGTGAGTCTCATACAGTGTCATAATAATAAAAAAAATAGCACACTAGACAAAGTGTTTCGAAGAGAGAAAAGTATATCTAGAAAGGTATAACAAGACGATCTGAAGGAAAAATGGAACCATCGATTTTCATAATCTACGTAAGGAGATAATAACTTGAAAAATATGTTAATCTTTTTAGAGATGACATGATAGTCCAATTATCAAGCATGGACGGGGCAATCGCTTCCTTGAACTTTACACAACAGAAGGTTACTTATAAAACATCTGTAATAATAAATAAAGTTTAAGCGTGGAAATTCCCAAACAACAATCTTTTTCTGAATTTTAAATGACTCTTTATACAAATTAAAGGTATATAGCATTTTGTTCCCTACAATCTAGTATCGTCAATCTTAGAATTGCGCTGCTGTTGTCATTCTATCACATAGCTGATTGACGATAAGTTTTGAGATAAATGAGTCATAAAGATACTATTTTAACACAAACATGTTTTCTGTATGTTTGCGAAACGCTTGGAAACATATATGTGCATGCGTTTTAAAATAAAATAACACAAACATTATTAAATAAACGATTTTCCACTGACAAAGGAAGGCACGGAAGTGCACTCCTCTAATTTTAATGAAACGTCGTATGTCTGTTAACAGTCAAAAATAAGGGATACGTATTTTTTTTATCGGCTGACACACGATTTTAGGGGGTGAAACCACCCCTCGAAGTTTCGATCCGAAATTTTTTTGTTATAAACACATTATATTTTGGACAATCTGTTAGCACCATATTATTCTACATAAAAAACCACAAACCTCTTTACTTAATACTTTCAGGTCGAAACTTCGAGGGGTGGTATCACCCCTTAAAGTCGCGTCTCAGCCGAAAAAATACGTATCCCTTATTTTTGACTGCTTATCAGATATACGAAGTTTCATCAAAATTGGAGGTGGACACTTCCGTGCCTTCCCTTGTGAGCATGTATTTGGGGTAATTTGACCGGGGTAAAGTGAGCTGGAATACGAAAAAGATGCGCGTGCGCGAGTGAAGTGTACAATAGCTCAACCTAGTCAGCGAAACCACGAAACCACGCGAAAATACGACAGTTTCAGCTTGCGCTGATAATTATTTATTTTCTAGAGATCTCCAAGGTAATATCAATTCGTGTTTTTCATTACGTCATTAATTAATGTATTATAAGTAACACTTCGTCTTAAATATTAGAGATTATTATTTTTCGTTCAATTTCATTACTAATTTTAAGTAATCATTATAATTCTCCTAATGATTATTTATAATTTTTATTAATAATTATTATTTCTTATTATCAATTTTAAAAAATTTTTGTTTTGTGTCACTTATTTCTACGATCTATCGGCCACGTAGATTTCCGCATATTCCGAAAAACAGTACAAATTAAACATTATATACAATTCGAGTATATATAAGAAATAACTGTAGGCTTGACGATGTCAAGTCATTTAGAATACAAAAATGGGACGACGCCGGTTATGGGTTAAAAGTTATGTTTTATTTCAGCCCACTTTACCCCAGATAGTGCTAGAGCCTTTTGGCTTTTTGTTTTCAAGTTGAGTTTTGAAATATTTCAAGTTTGTCTAAAGTATTGCTACTCGGAATTTGTCAATAGTAATGTTTAAATTATATTATAAAATTATCCGTACACATTTTTATTGAAAAGAAGAAATTTTATTCTACTTTAAACTTTTTTAGGGCCAGTTTGCCCCGGTCTCCCATAACTAAAAATGAAAATAGCTTTTAATGGGGTTGATATTTCTCTTCGGAGAATTTCAGCGAAGTCCGGTGGGTCGCCGGTAGCTGTTGTTTTCTTTTCCTTTCTGGAGCTTGGAAATATAGACTCTGAAACCTAGAAGGAGCGGAAAAAAATGGAAATCATTTTTTTTTAAATTGATTCATTGAACAATTTTATATTACAATTTTTAGTATGATCCTTGGGAACTCATACACAATTCCTAACGATTCTGTCATTCCTGGTAGCATTGCTGGAAATCTTGAACTGTGATGGTGTTCAGAGCCGATGTCGTAGCTATGTGGACGTTGACCACTGTGCCGAAATGATGCCCTTGAAATGTGTCTTCGTCTTACAAGGGAGCATACCGAATTGACAATCGCCAATTTTCATGCAACTCTGTGAGATTGTAGTTCTCATAAAAATATTTGACACGAATTCTGTTTTTAGCTGCTCTTATCCACGGTAAAGGGGTGAAAACAGCCCTCAAAGTTAGGGGTGTGAACTGTATTCGATCGAATATCTGAAAAACTATTAGAGATAGAAAAACTGTATACATTGCAATATTGTGTGTTCTTTCATAAGAAATCCAGCTATATGATTGGATTCCAGAATAATTCAATTGTTTAAATAATACATTTAAAACACAGCATTTGCTGTTTATTTTTCTGGTCAAGTGTTAATCGATTTTTTTGTACATTTGTATGTGAAAACTATATACCCAAATATAAAATACGGATAAATTGGAATTTTTATTTTTGCATTGTTAAAAAAGTTATTATGATTGAAGTTTACGCGCATTTTGTGTAAGACGGAGCATTTGAATGTGTATAATCAAATAGATAGTACACTTTTACGATTTTTATGTATTTATATTACGATATGTTTTGGTTGTTGATCCTCAAATGGTTAAAATTGAGTCTGCAGGTATAAGAGTTACCTGCCCGCGCACTGTCGTAAGTCGACATAAGAGATATACGTATAGGTAAGGCGCAACGAACAAGCGATAATCGACCAATTCATGATTTTAAAGCCTTTATTAAATAGACAGTTAAACCAGAATTGTTTTGAATATTTTAATTTTGCCTACAGAAAATAAAATTTTAGATATAACTATAAATTAATAATTATATAATTTTTAGTGTACTGAACTTCAGTCAATCATTACAGTTACATAATATACTAAATATAGTAGAATGAAAATAATTCTTGTAGTTCGATATAATAAATAATGAATACGACAATCTAAAAGAAACAATCCATTTTCTTAAAAAGAATTAAAATTTCTTTTTTATTCATATAAAATCTCATTCTTGAGGCACCAGGAACAATTTAATGTATATACGATGAAGTTGATCGACACATATCATTGTGATTATAGAGTTAGGCGCAGCTCTACAATAATACGGTAAAAATCCTCGCCACAGTGCTCTCACTCCTTCTTTTTGTACTATGTAGAGTATCATGCCAAAAAGGTTCGGTGATTTTTTTGATGAAGTCCAATTTTGTAATCTGTAGAACACGTTCATGAAGAATTAATAATAAAACTAATAAGAGTTGATTAGTCATGAATAGGTTTTTACCACACCTAGTTTTAGATACATCCAAGGGAAGTGACACTGAACACGTTACTAGTCCGGAAATCATAGCTGAACAAAATTGCAATAATACACCTTCGTGAAAGCGACCTACAATTATAAATATCACTTTAAACAGCTAACTTGTTATTTCAATATCTTAACATTAAATTTCAAGCACAAAAGGAAATGTAACTTTTTTTCTCAAATATGTACACATAAAGGAATTTGTAGAGCAGTGGATATTGCAAATGAATTCTCGTAGCAGCCACAATTTCTCCTTTCCTAATCTATCCACAGAGTTACATAGATGTTTAACTCAATAACCATAGATTGTATATTATTAGTTTTATAAAAAAAATTGTGAATAGTTGCTATATTTCGTGTTACAAAATATTTTTTCATGAAATGAATAATTTGCATGTAATTTAACATCGAATTCAACAATCGTTGTCTTTCTTAATTAAAAAATATATGCATTTATATATAATATATAAACTTAAACAATCGTTGTCTTTCTTAATTGTTTAATATTCTATACATATGTATACAGAATTAGAATACCTTCTAAAGTATGCATTGCATGAAAAAACCTTTTATACAAAAGTTGTATGGTTTGGAGAGATACGTTATGTAATGTATATATTTTTTTTGTAAGTGGAGGCGTTTCGGAGATTTGAAGGTCAACATCGTATTTTTAAAGGGAATGCTATATTTTTTATGCCAAAATATCAAAGAGCTTTAAATTTTGAGTAAAAAAGTACTGGCCTTTATGGCCTATATGACTAAACGAAATAAGTTATCAATTGTGTTTCGAAAGTTGAAGCGAACAGACGTAAATTACAAGTTACATTTTCATTCCTTAAATTACAATTATGTTAAAGTTGGATTGAGTTGTTCATAAATAAGTTTGTAAAACATATGTATATGTGTATATATATGCATATATAATTATATATTGTACATTATTATTTTTTTCTTATAGAATCACTTCCTACCCGGTTATGCTATATGACTTGAGACACCTTGTACAAATTTCGAAGTAAATAAAATAAATTAGGAATTTGGCTTAAGGAATTGTTCTAAAAATCCAAATACATTACACGAAATTACTTTCATATCGTACTTCATTCATTCATTCTGTTTCATATTTCTAGTTTCCATAAATACCTGTATCTATCAACATTAGTTTAACCTTGCTGTATGTACCCAACTGTGTCCCATTGACGACAGCTCCTCTTATCACTGTTGCTGTACTTCCTCTCCATAATGCACGCACTCCTTCGTTCTTCGCAATAGTGATTAATCCAACGAAACCATTTCTATAATTCCATCGCTTCTCTAAAAATTCGTTCTTCGGTTTATATACCTTTTCAACTGGTTATTCATATAAGAGAAAATCCTACACAATTAAGTTTCTTTTATTTCTATTTTTGTCGTCTATTTATATTGTAACAGTAATATTAAAATTTTGCAATTTTATGGTGGTGTGTATAATAATAAACTCACCGGGAGGTAAGTTCACGTCGGCTATCATACGAATTAAAACCAAATCGGTCGGACTTCCAACAAATGAACCCACGACACCGGATATCATTCCCATGCCAATCATCGTAGGATAATTTAAACATCCAAGATATTGTCTAAATTGCATTCAATTTTTTTATTGTATTTATGCATTAGTATGGTTATAAACGTACAGTATTCTTATTTTATTTTCTCACGTAAATTTCATTCCTTAGATTTTTAATAATACAAGTTATATTAGGAGTCACTGAAGCGCAAGCGTCACGTATTCTTTGTTTCATATTCTCTTTTGTCGTCGGCGGTTCAAACATAACTTTGTCCTTTACATATCCCCATAAGAAAAAATCTAATGTTGTTAGATCGGGGGATCGAGGAGAGACTCCCGAAATTTTAACAAATGTTAGAACAACTTTGATGTTTCGAGTAAATAAATGTTTACAAGCCCGTGGTGGACATTTTGAACATTTAATTCAAAGAACATTTTATTTCTTCACGAATAAGCGCGTATAATTCAATAACGCAAATTCCGAGCGCTTCAAGTAAGTACCTACAAGTCAAAACTTCAAACTGTTATATCTCATCATGAAAATATCTGACAAAAAAATGTTTCAGACAAAATTTACTTGTTTTTTCCTGTAGAATCTAAATATGTAACGTTTTATAGGGGGTTCCATTTAAAATTACAAAGTTACCTCCGCCCCCCCCCCCCCTTAAAGGGGAAGGGGGGCCACTTCACGTTTATGTAGTTAGAAAGGCCTTTCAGATTCATGCAATTTAAGACCAAGAATGTTAAAATCGATGGCATAGTTTTCGAGATATTGAGCTGTTAAGAGTTATGTGGGCCACCCTGTATATATATGTATACATATATAAGAAATGAATTTCCCTAAACAAATTTCTATTTACTATTTACTGTTCAAACGTTGTAGGTATATAAATAAATTAGCATAGAGTGTTATGGAACTAGTGGTACAACCCCAAAAGAGACGATTCCATATGAAATAATAAAACGAAAATGCAGAATAACATATTTCATATTAGACTTTTGTCTGATATATTTTTTTATATAATCAATAACTTAGAGGATAATCGAATACAGTCGACTTTGAATGCGTTTAAGTAATCATTTAAATGTTTAAGGGCTCAGAGGCTCGTTTTCCCTTATCCTAGATTATTTTTTTACTAATTGGAAATATTTTAGGGCCGCCGCAAAAAAGATCGTAAAACAAAATTTTCATCAAGAGTAAATAAGAGTCACCCTAATAAGTACACGTACTAATTGGTTGCCAGGTATCCGTAATTGATTAGAAATAAATAAAAATAAATTTCTTTGCCTACATAAATCCGGAAAAATTCCGTTCTGCAATATGTATGAGATTGTAAGAGCACAAATTTCATGTACTTGTGACTGGTTACAGGTTACAGGCACCTGACGGGTAATTAGGGCAGTCTTAACAATGGCACAGCCAGTTCCTTCTACTCAAGTGTAATAGAGCAATAAAATCTAAATCGTTAAATAATAAACTGCTAGATTCCTTTTCTCATAAATTTTAATACGGTCCTTTTTTGCACGTTTTCTTTTTGCGCGATACGCATCCACCATGTAAAAAGAGATCCAGGTGTAAGGTCAATGTCCTGATTTCTGCTCAGTACGTCTATATTTTATTTAATGTAAAAAGTTAAATAATAAATTAGTTATACAAAAAATGATTTATATTAGTTCAGTATTTCCGTACAAAATGCTATAGCGCGGTTCAATAGAGGGCAGTATTTTAATAGAAAAAAATTTAATAAGTTTGTCCGTCGTAAAGAAACGTGATTTGAGCGGTTCCGTTGCGATCGTGAGTTACACGTGAAAATTGCGTTTTTACTAGAAGAAACTTACGGAATCTTTAATATTATTCGCCAAAGTTTGGTTTCGGCACTTCCGTTTTCGCTGAGCAGAAATAGGGACATTTTATACTTCATATTAAATTAACTATTATTAAGTTAAAATGTTTTTAAAAATACTTTTATTTAAATTTAATTATAAAGGAAGGTTTATATTTAATAAGTTCGTTTGACGATTGTTGCATAAATAAATAATAAAAATCAATTTCTGCGATAGCAGAACTCCTACATGATTAGAAAAAGGGAAATTGACCTTATGTACTTACTGACACAAGTCGTACAAAGTGGTGTACATTCCAAGTCTAGCTGTGCTATATGTTAATTGGCGGAGAAGCCCAGCGGTCCAGCCAACGAAAAATCCGCGTACTCCGACGCCATGTAAAGTTGTTCGTACTGTTTCGGTCAGAGAAGCCTTTGAAAGTTGCATTCGTACTTTAGTTACATCTAAAGGATGCGTTGCAGTTTGCCCTGCGGCCCTGTTACAGTAACACATTTTATTCTACATATTTATTTATATTTCTTCAAGGGATCTCTGTGAGAATGTCATGGACGTAAACGATCGCAATTAATTTGTTTTTGAGGTTATTAGATTCTAGGGTCGCGTGATCGATTGTAATTCAACGAATACCGAGTGATTCTGATCCAATGATCGAGATATTTCAGTCTTAATAAACTAAAAAGCTGAAAAGTATATCAGAGAAATAATAAAATCGCAATTCAATATGTTTTCGTTTCAATAAATATAAAGAAGCATTAGCTGTGGATCGAAGTTATCCGTATTTGCAGGTTAGGTACATTACATTACAACGGGGGTTAAGGAACACCTTATTTTCAGATGCTCAATTAATTCATGTAGTTTTATTTAAAGTGTACTAAGTATTTACAAGTTATATTGATGTTTAAATGCAGAATAGAATAAAAATGTGTAGTGACATTCGGTTAAGATTAAAGTTTAATTAAAATTCTACCACATATGTATGTCATCTAAAGGTTAAAACTCAGCACGAGAACAGATAACATTCTTTATCAACATTTTACCCAGATATTCCACCAATGACAAAGTTGATAAAAGGAGGCACTTCGTCTTCTTGATTAGATAATAATGGCATCGATTCATATTTTGATTTTTATACTTCCAAAGATGAGTAAAATTAATGTTTACAATACAAACTTAGAAGTCAAATATACGACTTAGCCTTCATGATGTGTATACAACATCTTTACAGTGGATTGCTGCTGAATATAGCAGTTTTTATATGTCAAAACCTTGTTTTTTTTTTGTTTCATTTATTTCTAGTACCTATTTTAATAATAATAAAATGTTCATTAATCAACCTTTTCTCATACACACACATACTTATATAAAAAACCATACAAAATTAATACCAAAGATTAAAATTTGTTATTATAGATCACTATAAAAACACATTCTAAGAACACTCGTTTTTTCTTATTCTTTCGCAAAATCGATTTTTCAGTGACCTCCAGTTAAGCTTTTTCTTCACCAGGCACAGAATTTAAAAAGAACACGGATTAAGATCCGATAATTGTACTAATTAAACAAGCTTGTTAGTTTTTGATGTCAAGTGACACGAATGAAAAAGTTCATACACAGTTGTACGTTCTGCAATTTATTTGCACACTTTACGAAAACTTACATTTACAAAAAAAATTACTATTTTGGACAATACGTTTCCTTCTTCGCGATTTGATTAGCAAGATGTTGGTGTCACTGTTTAATTTCCAATCAATGCAGAAAATAAGAAAATTATGTCAAATAAGATGAAAAAATTAATAAAAAAAACCTACAAATATTATAATCAAAACATTATATTGTATGTTAAATGTTATAAATGAGAACGATTGTTATCACATAAGTCGCACGCGATAACTTCAAAATTTATGCGCACAGATCAGTAGACAAATTGTGATAGTCGAGAAGTAAGTTCATTAGAATGTCTAACAGATCTGTTATATTTGTTTCGGATTTCGTTTTAGATTTCATAAGGGTCTGGTTCAGTGTCGCTAGCGAGTTGTGAAGCATGGATATTGTTGTAGTCATGCTTGGGCCAACAATTACCATCAAACCTTCAGTTCTAAGTTCGCTGTCGTATAATAATATGCTCGAACCCTGCTTTCTTTCTGAATTGTACACAATCTAGAAATGAAAAAGCCATCTGATTGAGGAACCTAAAATTGTCTAATACTATTGTACATGCATACAGAGTAACCATGTCAATCAGAATTGTAGCCAGGGCCGTTCCTCGAGGAAGTGCAAAAGGTGCCCCCGCACCTGGGCGGCCGCAGATCGTTTATTATGTGAACTTTTGGTTAGGAAGATTTGGTTAGTAAGTTGGTAAGAATCAAATCTTTTTTTATGATTATGAAAATTTTAGGCAAACAGAATTCATTGAAATTAGTTTTATATGTAATCTTCGTAACACTATTCGTATACAAGAATGAACTATCTGTGTGGACAGCCCAAGATAGAATATGCTATTTAGTCATATTTATTGGATTAAATTCGTATCAGGTAATTACTGCTCAGGTAATTACAAACATATTATACGTTAATTTTGTGCTTATACGTGGAATAAAATATTCACAATAAATAAAAACATCTCTTTTTTAAGAATCTTTGTTTCATTTTATAAAAACAAAAATTAGAAAATATTGCTTTTGAATAATAAGTGTTAAAAGCTATGTACACATATACATATGTATACGGATATAAAAGTAAACACTGCATATCAAATTCTTAATTAAATAATATTAAGTAAATAAGGGCAGCGATACTGTTTTTGCACCCGGGCAGCCAACAACCCAGAAACGGTCCTGAATGTAGCTACTAAGAAAAATGGATCGACAACTAATGTCATAAAACAATTCAAACGCGCATACGTTTAAAAACCCATTCTTTCATTAAAAATCATCATACCATGTTTCTTGTAGTAACGAGGAATTTGGAGAACATAAAAGAAACTGATTTTTTTCATTGAAAATAAATAAACATTCCAACGTACACCAGATGTTTCAAACAGCTCCTTCAGTTGTGGCCACGAATAAGCAGAAAATCTGGAATGATACAAGTTTGAAATTGCGATTCCGTATCTGCTCGTCGTTTCATTCCACTTGGGCGTTCTGTCTGGAACCATGTGCCCAGAGAGTCTTCCCTTTGGTCTCGAGACTAACGGAATATCGGCGATGAATCTGTTTTTTGCTGATCTGTTTAAATATTTATAATAATTGAAGATTTGAGAGTGGTTTTATAGTTATGCCACGCAGTGTAGATAGATCAGACCAATTCTAAGAATATTTAAAAAGAATACTGTCCTTTTCAATTATTTTGTTTGCTATCTCGTTTTTCCTTTAAATCAATGATTCAAGTACAGTAATGTCTCGATGAGTGCGACGAACTTGGGTCCGCTTCGAAGCAATCGTGACAAAGCGAAAAGGTTTTCAAACCCCTATAAATTTGTTTTTTTTAATGGTCCCAGAAGGGGACCGACCCAGTGGTGGGAATAACACCGTTGTTCGTGTTGCCTTCATCGAGAAATCACTGTATATTATAAATGTCTAGTTTAATTCGAAATTAACAAAATTAATTTCGATGTTTGGCTAGAGAAATGTCAATGCATTTATTCAATATGTACGTCATTCAAAATTCATCTCATAGTACAGTCCAAGATAAACGTGTAGTACACTTTACGTTTTCCTTTACCTACTCTTTAAATACATACAGTATGTTACTATAAATTTATTTCTATAAATGAAACTTAGTAATACGAACCTTCGTTCTTTTGTATTTAAAAATTCACGTGTAATTATACATATATCTATCGGATCAATGCATGTATCTTACTAAGAAAAATTGAGAAAATAATAGCATTTTGTGAGTAAAAATTATTGTACGATTTATAATTAAGAAACTTTAAATGTTATTTACATGTACGTTCCTCCAGTTGAAAATTTCATCCATTCCATATAACTGTGTACGTCCGTATAAAAAGGATATACATGCAGCAACATAATCCCTAATTTCTCCTCGTTTTTCTCAGGATAACAATAACAGTCAACGGTCACGTAACCGAAATAACCTTCATTTTGCATCCCTTTCGCAAATTTGTTTACTATTGGTTCGAGTTTGGTGTTGACTAATGAGGTTTGCGGTATCATGTACACACGCGTTGAAACAGTGCAAACATCTGTCATTTAAATTAATTGTTACATTGAAAAATCAGAATATCCTATATAACACTATATAGTTTACAGTCATTTGGTGATCCAAACTCCACTATGAAATTCTTATGGAAGGTGGTCGTCTAAACTCAAAAATCGACATGAGACGTAATTCTATGGATACGTTTTTGAGATATCGCCCGATGAATATTTTGGTAATTTTTTAAAAAGACGACTTTACGTTATTGGCTCAATTGAAAAACAATGCGGGAAAGAATTGTATGTAATTTTATTACCTTTAATTTAAGAGTCATCGCGATCAAATCGGTCAACTACAATATAACACGAGATACGGCCAAAAACTTAAGGTCGTCTTTTTAAAAAATTACCAGAATATTCATCGGGCGATATCTCAAAAATGTATCCATAGAATTACGTCTCATGTCGATTTTTGAGTTTAGGCGACCACCGACAATAAGAATTTCATAGTGGAGTCTGGATTACATAGAATTTCTTGGATTTTGTAAACTAGTGTAATCACTTAAAAGTAATTCTGATCTGTGATCAAAAAGATACTTATTGATTAAGGGGTTACATCTACCTAGAGACCCGAAAAAGACACACAAGTTCAGGACTTTTTTTCTAAAAGATTAAGTGAAAATAATGCAAAACGATTATCTTCTAAAAGATACTTCTACTAATAATAAGATTTAACTATATTGTTCTAAATTTTTATGTAAAACATAAACTAATGGACATATCGCTTTTGATACAAATTATGTTTTCTTTAAAGCGTTTACTGGTTGATATTCCTTAGCCAAAATGGTGTATTTGAAAACAAAAGCTGAATAGATTTTAAAAACAATTAAAATGTAGAAGTCAGTGAATTTCTTACAAAATCGCAACCGTTTTAAGTGTACATATGAAATTTTCACGAAAAAAATCTTTTATTTTTCATTATTAAAAAATTGGACGTGAACTTTAAAAAAGTGAGAGAAGCTCTCGTGCCAAAGTGCCGGAGGATGGAAAGAGACACACAGTGGCATTGAGCCGTCACAACGTCGCACGAAATACGCAGCTCGCGTTGGATAATCCACACATTTTTACAAAAGCTCATGTTTTTCAAAAACTGACGGAGATTGAGAAAATCTGCTTACGGATTCGTGATCTGGACGAGGAACTCTATAAGGATCTCCCAATGGATATTGCAGATTAAAAATCGTGTTGAACAATCCCAGATAGCACATGACAGCTTGAAAACGGCTTGAAGGCGCCTTAGACCTAAAATAGGAGTCTTTAATGCGTCGTGTGCTATCTGGAATGTAACAAATAACGATACATACCTAAACGTACTATATCGGCGGTTCCCAGCCACTTCACTTTATCTTTAATCCCTTTTCTCGGAATGAATAGACTAACAGCGATGGCTTTATCGTCCTTTTTCACGGGCACTGCTTGCAGCAGGGAGCCCATTTTTTGCAATTGAGAATAGAAGTCCTTCCATGAATCGTAGAACCTTGACAGTCTAGTGGCAGCGGAAACAATTTTCGGCAAATGTTCCGTTAACTTGTCCAGAAACATGTTTCGCACCGAGCAATTCACCCCCCACGTGTCCCCGAATTTTTCTCTCTCCTTCCGTAAACTTGGCATAAACGGGATGCTGATGTGATTAATCAGAAAAATGCCGCGATGCACCTGGTTCGTGCCAAAATTCAGTTTGATCACCCACGCACAGATCTCCGTATGATGAATAATCATTTGAGCTAGAGCGCTGCATAGGGTCTCGTAATTATGTATATGCTTGTAATGCGGTGGTTGCGCCAGTCCAAGTCCATCGATCATGGCGGACATTATCGATTTGTTTAGGAATTTTCTTTGGACCTCCATGTCGGGACTTAGCAAGGCTACGCCAAGGTTCCCGGCCAATCTCATGTCGCATTCGTCGACGATCAATGGTAAGAAGTAAGCGCGTTTACCGGCGATCCTCTGTCGAATTTCGTTAAGGGAATCCTCGGAACAATGCAGAATCCTAGAGAGATTTAATGTACACCGACTGAAGGTCTCCCCTTGAGACAAAGCGATGAAAGTGATTCGTTTTGCTATGTTCTCTCCCGCGCGTATTGACTCGATGAAGTCGCTGTACATCAACAGTAAGTCTTTGGTCGGTCTCACAGATAATATGTAGATCACTTCGGTGTTTGGATTGCGCACGAAACACATACGTAAACTGGCCATGTTTTGCTCGATAGCGAGCTTCTGCGGTATATACGCACGACGTAAGTCCACTGGGTAACCAAAGGATGGCAAATGTATTACCACATGTGGTTTCTGAATGATAGAATTGAATTCTCTGTTTAATTTTAAAGACAGCTCCCGTGTTGTTTGCAACGATATCAACATTTTCATCAGATAACGTTCGTGTATCTCCCTTTTCTTCTTCAGAGTCAGCCAACATAACCACAAAACACTGGCGGCTATGTAAAGTAGCTCGGAGTCGGTTTTCATTTTACGTAACTGTAAGGATCAGAATATGCCATTAAAACGTCCACCTCGAAATTAATTTAAAATAGGTGTTCGAAGAATTTATGTACACCGAGGAGCAAACTCGGCTTTCGTTAAGGGAAAAATGTGGTAGGCGAACAGCCTCCTGCCATTTAATTTTGGGAGTTACTGATATTTATGCCAAATTAATATACGGTTTAACATTTATTTCAGTACTTGAAATAAATTTAGCAAGTGGTAGGAGACTTTTCTTCTATGCCACTTTTTCCCCTAGCGGAAGCCGAATTTGCTGACGAGGGTAAATTGTGTCCTGTGTAAAAATGAACATGTATACATATGTACATGGTTTGATTCTCTTTTTGAGAACACGAAGGACTTGTTCAAATGATGATTGTATTACTTTATGTATACGAGAAATTGGTTGTACTGTTTTATTTTTTTTATAAAATGGTTTGTCCTCATAAAGTTTCGGAATTCCTCATTTGCGCAATTGTTTTGAATAGTTTACTCTTTCAGAAGAAAATATTTCTAATTGATATTAAAACAAAACTTATATCTTATGACAAATTGCTACTTTAATGTAAGTTCAGAAACTGTTGGGACAAACTGCATAGTTTATAATTTTATTTATTAATTTTTGTACGTATACAGGGCCTTCGATTATTGGTGTCAGAAACTTTTTTGGGTTGATTCTGTGTGACAATATAGAAGAAAAATCAAGAATGATGAAATTTTGTTGGAGGCTTCGTTTCAAATTATGAACAGGTAAAAATTAAGGTCAGAAACGCCTGAAACCAGGCAACCCGTACTAAACAGAATATTTTATAGGTACAAAAAATAAGAAATATATGCTTACATGTTTCAAATTATTTATATTGAAGTTAAGAGTTCATATAAGAAAAATAAAAAAAAAGCAAATTGATCAACAACATAACATCTTATTGACAAGTAAAGACGAGGTGGACAAGCGACAGAAAACAACGCGTGGAGGTCTTGACTACAATTTTTGGTTGTTAATAACAGTGAAAATGAAGCTTGCCATAAAATTTCGTCATTTTTGTATCTTCTATTATTTTGACAGTCAAGGGGGGACAAAAATATTAACACATCGATTGCCACAGTGAAAAAGGTTGTACGTAGCCAGACACGCTCTATTTTGTTTTTAAAGTCATAAATCGTTGAAAATGTATGCGTTTTGTTAATACAGGCTGTTGGTCGTGTTTCAAATTATACTGCAATATTAAATATTACGCAAAAATTTTATAACTCTGGGAAGGGAGGGCGGGGGGTGTACAATCTAAAATCCAATTTTTTTTTCTTGTAGGATGGGGCAAAAACCACTTCTTTTCGTCCAGGGGGGGAGGCGAGTGCACCCCTGCCCCCCCTTGGTTACGCCAATGTGTAGAAGAAGAAAATGATTTACCATGTAGCCACGGTAACGAGCTTGTATCAAAGTTACAGCTATGTGCTTTCTATTATTCAGTTGAAATTGTAATTTCCATCTTTCCAACCAAGGACGGTCCTTATCGTCTAACAAAGAAATCAAATCTGGCCTTAACAGTACAAAGTTCGCTCCGTTCTCCAGAATCTTCGATAAGAAGGCGAAAGTAGAACTCGGATTTAAATGTAGCATTGGTACGTGGCGTTTTTTCAACATTTTTTCTATTTGCGGGCAAAGAACTAAATACCACTTTGTCCCGTACTGATTTCCATGCCTGTCCAAAATTTTTCCCCAAACATGACAATCCACGAATTTTCCGTCGATAAATTTTAGATTACTTATCTTCGATAATTCCGTTACTACGGAAAAGTGATCGAATTTCTTGGTTTCCTTCAGAAGATCGGTAAAAGTGTCAGTTTTCGATTGTCTCACTGACATTCGACGTTTCCTAAAACAAATACACTTATGCAGTATTGTATACAGTAGTTCGTGGAAACGTTTATTTAATGTAGCCTGTTTTGTAATGAAATTTCGCGTAAACTGGAGATGATATAATAAATCAAATCCAACAATCTTCATCGTTACCCAGATAGCGCATAACGCCTTGAAGGCGGCTTAAAGGCGCCTTAGACCTAAAATAGCCGTAAAATGGGCATCTTCAAGGTGTCATGTGCTATTTGGGTAATAGTCAAGCATTTTTGTAAAAAATGTCTTCAAACAAGTTTTACTGTTATTAAATAGAAATTATTTTTGTTAATAATGATCTTTACCAAAGAAACATAAAATCTGTATGTATCACGGGACATATATTTTTCTGGGTCAAGTACAAAATGTACAACTTACTTGACTCATTGTATCTGTACTTATTTATCTTAATAAGTATAAGTTTCATTTGTAAAAATTTATTTTGATTTATACACTGCTCGAAACAGACGATTGCCATTATGGATGATATTGTCGCTCACAAAAGTGAAAGGAACGTCACAAATGCTGTAGATTAGATAAATTGATATCAACATACGATTCTCTAACTACTTTGAACAGTGTACAATGCAAAATAATTATTGTACGTCCGTATCATAATGTCTGCAATTACTATAAACTACCTAGTTTGCACAGTGATTGTGAGAAAATTTTGGTTAAGTGTACTTCATTTCGCTTAATTATGTTTGTGATTGATATCGAGTTCTCTTAGTTAAAAGAGACTATTATGGTCTCTAGTATTTATACAAATGATACAATGTGCGTGGTACACGTTAAAACTCAATCGATTGTATAAATACTCATGTATTTTTCGTGATGACAATGTTCATGACCAGGGCCGTTCCTGGATTGTTGGCCGCCCGGATGCACAAATAGTCTCGCTGCCCTTCTTAATTTAATATTCTTTAATTAAGAATTTGATATGCAGTTTTACTTTTTATATCTATCTAGTTTTTTCAAAAGGAATATTTTATTCAACATATAAATACAAAACTAACGTATAATGTTCGTAATAATGGTGTTATTGTTGATAAATAGCGACCATTAATTATCTACACGAATTCAATCCAATAAATATGGTTATACTAAATACCTTATACTATTGTGGGCTGTCCATAAAGATAGTTAATTCTTCTTCACGAGTACATAGTGTTACAAAAATAACATATCAAATTAATTTGATTGAATTCAATATGCCTAAAATTTTTAGAATCATAAAAAAAGTCTAGATTATTATTTTTACTAGCCAAAATTTTACATATAATAAACGATCTGCGGCCGCCCCTGGGTTTGACCGCCAAGGTTCGGGGGCATCTTTTGCACCCCCGCCATGAACGGCCCTGTTCATGATGCTGCCGCATGGTAAAAGTGACTTTATTATCTATGTTATAGTATCAGTGATATTTATTTTCGTCCAGAACTATATTTAGGTCTATAACCAAGGATGGACACGTTATCTTAACTGATTCTATAAACAATTCTTATAGGATAGTCCACATACAGTGGACTCTAACTATATTGCCATGGTCGGGGCTGTAGGGGAGTAAAGTGGGAATGAGTTCAGAGCTCCCTCTAAGTTCTGTCGTCCATAGCCTCGGCCTCAGCGCCTGCGCAAAAGCTGGGTCGTGCTGGTGCGCCGGCGTGCGCAACGTGGTGCGAGAGCGAATTTATGTGCTCGAAAGTACGTGTGAAGGGGAAGTGCCACGCGTGGCAATATGTTCAGTGGCAATATAGTTAGAGGCCACTGTACTAAATATGGAGATGTGCGGCCGGTAGAAGTGAAAGATATGACTTTTACAGAAACAAAAAGCTTTCAAATTACAGCAGAAAAAATTACCTACTGGTCGTCTGGCTTTCTGGGCAAGGAAAACATTTTCGTTCGAAGGTATATCATATCCTGCTTAAACTTCAGATCGGATTCGTCGAGTTCGCTTCTCGCGATCATCTTTCGATTAGCTAAAATATTTTGTGTATTTTCCAGACTCCATTTTGGTATATTTTCCCAAAAGCAACGACATGGCATCTCGTTCGTTGTTTCGCCGCACGTGTCGCAAGCAAGAAACGTTCCGCAAATTTTTTTCACGTCTCGTAGACTTACGCGGGACGGTGGCTGCATACGTTCTTTCGTTGTCGTGAGTAACTCAATTTTCAGTCGTAACAGATGCTCCTCACATACTTTTTCTATATCCATGATCTCCTTTATAATGTGCTCATGAAAATCTTGTGTATTTTTCAAAACATCTATTTCAAGAACATTCTTGGCTACGCTATTCACGAATAGAATCGGTAATAATTACCATTAAGAAATGAACAACCTATTTGTAGAAGCGTATACTCTTTACGTGAATTCGAATTCAACACTTGACTGCCAATTATAATTATAATTTATTGATTTATTTTCTAACTTAGTGAACTAAAAATAACACATCGCAGATAGCACATGACGCCTTAAAGACGCCTATTTTACGGTTATTTTAGGTATAAGGCGTCTTTAAGCCGTCATTAAGCCGTCTTAAACCGTCTGTGTCCTACCTAAGCTCTATCACTGCTACTAAATTCAGCAAAATATAATTGTACTCATTTTTAAATAACATTAAGCAACATAAAATAATTTCGAACACGATTAGTTTCGATTAACTTAATTCTGATAAAAAATCTTTTATTTCGTTTGTATATTTATACTGTCATTAAGGAATCTTTTTGTTCTATTCGTCGTGTATTTGTTATCTTACTAATACCCAGATAGCACATGACACCACGAACAAGACTTAAAGACGCCTTAGACCTAAAACAGCCGTAAAATGGGCGTCTTCAAGGCGTCATGTGCTATCTGGGATATCATCATAATTTCGTTTCACTATGACAAATACCAATTTTTATGACAATTACAAACGAACCTCATGCGTTTCATAATTTCGTTCCTCTGATGACCAAGAAGCTGTTTAGCTGAAGAAAATTCTCGTTGAATCCCCAGGATAGAGTTTTTAATCGATTCTATGCATTGAGAATAAATTTCTTCAGTTCGTAATAATTCATCATGACGGTCCATTTTACTAGCTCTACGAATAAATGTGGCACTCTGTAATGTGAAATAAAATTGAATTAAATGAACACCGTGCCATGATTTCAGAATAAAAGAAATTATAACTGTGGAGGCGTAATTATGTCATTCTCTGAATGTTACATATTTCACTTAAATTATATCTACTATCGATAAAAGATTTATGTACAACATAATCTCTTAACATTTTTAAGGTCAATATTAGTTTACTAGAATTTAATTGCATACAAATCAATCGAATTATATACGTATTTAAATAAATATAAAATTAATATTGCAGTTAATATTGCAGTTAAGAATCGAATAATCGTATACCGGGCGTTCGCATGTTAGCAACCAGAGATGGGCAAAATTTTTATTTAAATAAAAAACGTAAATAAAAAAAAAGAAAAAAATGTTATCGTTACTCAAAGCCTGAACAAAAAAGTAACTTTATCGACGAGCGTCGATTAAATAACTTTATTCAACGAGAATTATCCGATGAGTAAAAGTTACTTTTTGTAATCATGGCGTTTCACTCATAGCGTTGACGATATTGTCTTTATCCGAAAACTTCAAGTAAATCTATAAATAACTTTGGCCAACCAGCCAGCTCGAAAAAACGCGCTGACGGCGTCGAGTGTCGAACGTCGAAGGCCTACGACCGACAGTCGGCATACAATGTAAACAGACGTAGATGCGATAAGGAATCACGCACAAGTGAAAATTTAAACTTTTACAATTTTCAATATATATTAATGAAAGTGTCATGAATGAATTGAAGAGATTCTCGCGCTGAAAATGCGTCCAAATTCGAATGTAATTGAACAATTTTTACTCATACTTGGACCCATTTGGACCCAATTCCACCGGTAGGATCTCGTCAGTCCATTCGTGACACTTTAATGAATGTATCCTGAAAAGTATAAAAGATTAAATTTTCGTTCATGTTTACATTGTATTTCGATCGTCAATGTTATAAATAAATGTTGTTTATTCTCCTGATGAAAATAAGTCCAAACCAGATATAAATCAGACTATATTTAGTAACATACAATTCGTATCGCGACAACATATGTATATCACAATTTTCGACGTTTGACGCTCGACGCCGTCAGCGCGGTTTTTTCGAGCTGGCTGGCTGGCCAAAGTTATTTATAGATTTACTCGAAGTTTTCGGATAAAGAGAATATCGTCAACACTATGAGTGAAACACCATGATTACAAAAAGTAACTTTTACTCATCGGATAATTCTCGTTGAATAAAGTTATTCAATCGACGCTCGTCGATAAAGTTACTTTTTTATTCAAACTTTGTGTAACGATAAAAGATAAAGTATCTTTTATTCAAATAGTTATTTAAATAATTTTTTAACTAGTTAATGCCCATCTCTGCTAGCAACGAATGTAAAGACGTCATTTTAGTGATGTGGAACTTTTGTCCATGCGTTGTGACAAGTCTATCGTTTGTTTCTTTTAATTTTCATTACATCTTTGAATGATAAAACTGAATGTATTTAGACATAAAAAGTGATCTTATTATAAATAATTTAACGTATATTTATATGTACATTTAATGAATCTACAAAGATGGCGCTCATTTTGATTTACCTATATATCCGTAGAGTACTCGGTTGACACATGAAGAGGTTATATTTCTCCGTGTCTCTTGTTTCATTCGTATTGCCTGCAAACGTGATATAGAAAAAACCTTTTTATGATAATTTTCTACGAGAAACACATAAAACTGTAGAAACGGTAGTACATTCAGCTGAATTTCATTGCTTAGTGTCTGTTACAGAATTACTGAGCTTCTATGACAGTAGATTGTCAAAGTATGTTATTCAATGTTTTGATATGTCTAATCATTTTCTGTTTTCTTGTTTTTTTTTCGCCTGTCATGTCATTCAACACTACTGTAAGGAAGTGTAATTTACTAAAGAAATAGATAGACTACAGTAATATAAGGTCATCAAACTTGCATTACTGTTTTAACTAATGAAACCATAAAAACTTTACACGTATATGTTTTCTGCTGATCAAGGATACATGAAGTCCTTATTCAACACAGATTTTTATTTATGATATTTAGTGTAATATGTTACTTTCAGAAGTTTAAGGGAAGGCAATGGGTACAACACCAAGTCGATACGACGATCTTTCTAAGAATGTTTATTTGGAGAAATTTTGTGGAAAGAAAAGTATCCTTCCAAATGATCCATTTTGGGATACTTTTCTGTCCTACAACATGCGTCCACCTGTCACAAGGAACGATCAAATAGAATTAGACTCTCGATTGGATTCATCATGTCAACAGTTACTTGCCAATAATTTAACCACTGGCAATCTTGGCACTTTAATACAAGTTGCTTTCACACGTGCTAACAGTTTGCTTGAACCAGTGCAAAATCAGAAGTATGACATACTTTCTTTTTTATTAAAGAATATATACTTAGGATTACAAATTTAAGAAAAATTAATAAACACTATTGTATGTAAATAAGTACACTTAACGTTACTCTGTTTGCAGAATCATATCAGCTTGGCAAGTATATAATGCATTGTTTGCCGTAAGATGTATATTAAAATATTTAATGGAAACAGTTGGTGAAGAAGAAATGATAAAACACATAGAAGCACCCCAGTTACCTGTGCAATCACAATCGTCTTCACCTTACAGATTAGAGGATTTTTTCGAAGCATTACTTGACATCATAACGAATGTACCTTTATGGTAAGAAATCTGTAATATCTGTAGACTATATCAAATCAGTAGTATGTATAATCATGTTTAAGAATTTTAAAATGGTTCTAAAAACAGAAATGGTCACGTTTTATAAATATTTCATATGTAATAATTTTTTAGTCAATTATGTATAATGAAAAGTTTTATTTTATATGAAACTTTTGTTTTTCACAGTGAACTCACGTATGTTGTTCATCTAGAAGCAATAAATTGCTTACTTGTACTACTTTCAGTACAATTGTTTTCACAAACCGCAGCTGAATACAGCTCCATTTACAGAATAGCAATGCATTCATTTTCTAGTGAATGTGCACCAACAATAGTTTGTACATTATTACATAATTTTGTACAGCAAGAACATGCTCCTCCAGGGTTACTTACTCAACAAGCAGGAGGAAGTATTGTTTTCAGTATAGCTGGTATGTTTAGTAAAATAATATAGTGTTACATATGTAAATAGTCTATTTTATAATGATACTATTATTAGTATCTATTGCTAGAAGAATGATTAATTTAATATACCTAATATTTATGATATATAATACACTAAATTTATTTCAGCTGGATTATGGAATGTGATCACAATGGGTATAGGTAGTAGTTTAAAAAACGTACAAGTCACAAGTAATGGTACTTCTGAAGATGAGGAAAGAAAGCGTGATACAGAAACGCCACTTGCTAGTCAATCTTTATTACTGCTATTGGTTTTAACGAATCATTGTACTGCTACACAAAATCCTTACAGAAATGCGCTTTTCTCTTTTGTTGACATGCAAGGCTAGTATCTTATTCACTACATTAATGAAAATTATTTTTACTATTAAATAGTAATAAACTACAATTAAATGTACTACATTAATGTGAATTGATTTTAAAGCAAATGCATACTTTTTCAGAAGATTATTTTGCAATGCAAGCAAAAGGCGTATTTAAGTTTAATTTAAATAAATTGTACAATACTATATGTAAAATACCAAACACGGATGAAGTTACGTTATTGTTGTATATGCTGTTACATAGAAATGCAAATGTAAAGCAAGACATTATGAAGAGACCAGATATACAATTATTGGTGAATATGTTAAAACTACCATATGTATTAAGAAAATCAAAAACAAATTGTAAAATCTCTGTGTTTATAATCATTTTCTTACAGGTAACACCAATATTGCAGATATTATATCATGCTCCAAATAATACATCCCATCATATTTATATGTCTCTTATTATTCTTCTAATCTTAAGTGAAGATGAAACGTTTAATAAACGGATACATGAAATCGTGAGTATATCTTCCTGCATATAAACAATAATTAATCGTTCTCGTACATTTAAAAATTGTTCACGAAAGTACATTTATATTTAAATATTAATAGAATTATAATTTTTAGATGCTTAAAGGTGTCAGTTGGTATACAGAAAGATCGATAAGTGAAATATCATTAGGAGGTCTTTTAATTCTTGTTGTTATAAGAACAATTCAATATAACATGTTTAAAATGAGGGTAAGAGTATAATACCTACAAACAGTAACGATCATGAAACATAATTGGTGAAATATTTTTTTATTTCTCATAGGATAAATATTTACACACAAATTGTTTAGCAGCTTTAGCAAACATGTCTGCGCAATTCACATCTTTGCATCCATATGTAAGTCAAAGACTGTTAAGTTTATTTGAAACTCTTGCAAAGAAACATGTCAGACTGGAATCAAAAATACAAACACAACCTTCAGTTTTTTCTGACAGCACCACCATTACAGTTAATGGAACTACTGCAAATACAGATTTGGTAAGATTTCTTCATAATATGTTGCATCAAATAAATAAGTTGATAAGTACATTAGCATAGCATATGTGAAGTATATTGTATTTCAGATTCAGGATTTAACAATACTCGAAGAAGTACTACGAATGGTATTAGAAATTATAAATAGCTGTTTAACTTACAGACTTGCACATAATCCAAATTTAATATATACACTTTTATATAAAAAAGATATTTTTCAACCATTTAGAACACATACTGCATTTCAAGATATTGTGCAAAATATAGATTCAGTAAGTATAATAAATAATATTTATTATACTTATAATTTCGATATTTGACCAATAAATAAAATAATATTGACATCAATTTTAGGTTATTAATTTCTTCTCTTACAAATTAGAGCAAAAGGATCAATCCCAAATTGGTGTCAGTCAAGTATTAACTACAATACAACAAGGTACCAGCGAATGGCCTCGTGATCGATTGAGGGTACGCGCAAATTACTTCCTTTTTAATATACAGTTTACACTTAACTTAAATATACTTTTAACATGCACAAAATTTAATAACAACTTGCATGCTCAATGTAAATGCCGTGTCTAATACAACTACATACGTGAAGTCTGTGGTGTCGGTAAAATTTTCTTAAGTCATTGATACTGTGTAATTTAAATTAGTATATCGTCTAATTTTTTATAGAAACAATTGTTTGATATTTCTTTATTCTTTTAATTGCAGGTAAGAAATTGTAAAATTTAAAATATTAGTTAAAAAATGGTGATTTTTTCTAATTTCTTCTACATTATAACTTTTTTTTATTTATATATCAAGAATTTTTAATAAGCAAGTTTCTTTTCCTCCTTTTTGCTTTATTGCATAATGACATTAGCTTTTGTATATTTTGCAGAAATTTCCAGAATTGAAATTTAAATACGTAGAAGAAGAACAACCAGAAGAATTCTTCATCCCTTATGTATGGAGCGTTGTTTGTCAAAGTGCGCTCTTACATTGGAGCGCTGAAAACATAAAATTATTTTCACCTCATAACAATGAGCAAACGACAATTATTGTTTGCTGATATTCAGACAGCAGCTGCTGCTTGCAGTAATCATAGGTAATAATAACTAAGAAATATGCGGAGCAATATTTCGTAATGGAACATGTACTTGATATGAAATGGAAACAATATTTTGATTATTTATTGTAAAAGTAAACAAAGGGGAAGAATAGAAGATAATTTAAAAAAATATGTATTAATTTTACATTTGGCATCCATTCAACGGTACTTATATACCTTGTCTTCGTGCAGGTTTCGCTTGATTACATATATTCCTTTGTAAAATAATATTCGTTTGTTGAAATTTAATAGTAGCTAAACTGAATAATATTTAACAAAAATAGTATCATGAAATTTTAAGGTATGTTTTGATATTTTTAATGCGTGAGCCTAAGCACTAGAATTAATAGGAAAATTCTGTGTTACTAAGTAAGACTTGAGCTGTGCAATTTACTTTTTTCGAAAGTTGTATCGTGTTTTGATAAGTATTTAAATATGATTAGCGAATAAAAATATTGAAATATTCGATTGAAGGATTTTAAAAATCGCAGTAAATGGACAAAATATAAATGATAATAATTGACACTTGAAGAATTTCGCTAAAAAAATGTAAACATTTTTAAATCTCCAGTATCATAATAAATATATCGTTAATATTTATGTATGAATACATTTTAATTTAGAGCTCCTCATCGTACAACACAATGAAAAATAATGAATTATCTGATGACATGATTTATGTTTTATTTAGGTGTTTTAAATAAATAATCAAAGTACGTGATTTATTACACTTTCGTTTATCAGAATTTTATAAGGTCGTCAAACACTGTCTGATAGATTACTTAATTATCAAAATGATTCTACGCATTTCACAAAGAAAGTAAACAATTTCAATTAATTACCGATAATTTTAAGAGAATTTATCCTACATCGCTATTTATAATAATTGCTAACGTACATTACTTGTTTATGTTTTATAGAACTCTTGTTTAATTGTAAATATATGATATGTATCTAAGCACATATAAAAATATTAAGTTAATAACTATTCAATGAATATTTATTTAAATTCCATGGGTACAACAATGTTTATACCTAAAAACATAGGTTCATGCTGTTAATATTTTAAATAATTTTAATTTCCAAATATGTAGAATATACATATATCCATGAAGAAGAGAGTAGGTAAGTGAAGCAAATTAACATAAAGAATTCCATGAAATATTTAAGTACCTACAATTTTTAAACTACTAGGAATGTGCTTAATATTCTAAAAGATCCATATTTACTTCTCCTTGAAAATGAAAGAATTCTAATGATTAAAATATATAAAATATCTATCTTGGATTTAACATACTGTAGAAGTAATAATGTGAAGACTGTTAATTAAATGTGTATACGCATTTCAGAGCAAGGAGGGAAAGATTAATATGAAACTATCTTTTAGCCTGTAGGACACATGAAACCGTTTTTAAGCAAAGTGTAATCATTGAATACTAATCAATATGGAATTCATAAGTTACTTTTTTACTTCGTTATGTGTATTATTTACTTTTAAAATCTGTTTTTTTTTACTTCTATATTATTGTTAGACCAGCACATTTCAATAATGCATATCAGATTATTTTTTAATAAACTTCCAATATGTCCTATCGACCGTAAAAACAGTTTTTTCCACTTTTTCGAATGTACATCTTTATTAAACAAATACAGTTGACGTCTTAATGTTATTTATAATATGTCGTTATAGATATTATTTCACTTTCCTAGCCTGTGCAGCGTGTATATGCGGCCGCGTGTGTGAGGGTCCTCCTGTGTATGTCCGGTGTGTATAGTCTATTGCTAATATTTTCTCTTGTCGAACGATTCTCAGTTGCGGAATAACAATGTAATTTGACGTTTTCTGTGCGTCGCGTGCAGACGCGCCGAGCAACTCAGTGTGTCACATTGAACCAAATAATTTCCATATCGTAAACTTTAGCCTTAGCCGTACTCCACGTTACGACTTGAAACGTGCTTAGCGTACAGATAGTATCGTTATTCATATCAATTAAATTCCTTAACTGTACTATATCAATTACTTAATCTTATTAGTTAACACACAATCAATCTGCGATGGGAGGGAATTTAGTCGGCGTGTGATGTTTTATCATCCACGGCCTAGCTAGTCGGTAGTTGATTATTCCATTCATTACAACGTCACCGTAGGATTGGTTTGTTTATTCTTTTTCTTTCTTTCTCTAAACGCTGAATTTATCTGAATTGCGTAGGACAAACACGTACCTACGCGCGCAAATCTTTTTTTTTTCCTTCTGGTTTTCAAATCGGGACCGTACGTACCGTACATTTGTCTTGTGGATCAGAGGCGAGAGAGCGTGTTCGTGTGTATCTGTCTTCTTGCGTCCATGTGCTCTAACAAAGTCCGGAGTGAGCTATTCTCACGAGGAACAGAGGACCACGGTCGTGTGCAGAGTCGTGTGTTCCGGCCATTGCTCGACTTTGTTTGATCGCGAGCCCGCGAGCCGGTGTTCCTCGATCGACGCCGCTCGAACCGCGGTAAAATTCAATTGTATGTATTCTGCTTGACTATTTAGGCGAACGGTACGTGTAAATGTCGAAGAGTATGTATATTTATTATACGTAAACATACATACACGGATACGTGTGCATATGTATACGTACACTAGCTGCCTACAAAATACAATAGTACATTACAAATTCATACCTTCTCTTCTCTGTTTCTTTTCGTTTTCTTTTTATATCATCATTTGCAAACAGCTTAGATATATTTTTATGTATAATATATATTATAATAGTATAATCTAGTTGGTTTTTTGTTCTGCGTAGTTCCTTTCTTTCTCATAATTAATAATTAAGTACATCTTTAGAGCAAATGTGTACACCTAGTTAGGTTGTAGCGGTGTCGCCATTCTCATTACGGATATCGTCGCTACCATACGAGATACGAGAAAGGAGTCTTCTTGATAGCTTGTCCCGAACGACTCGTTAGACCGAGTAACAAAAGAATGCTACCTCGTCGCGCTCATTTTGAAGTGTCCTCGTCGGACGACGACTTTCTGCTCTGACGAATGCTCTGAAAGCCAGCGTTTCTCTTTTGTGCAGTGTTCTTTTTCTTTTTTTCTTCTTTAGATTCCATACTTATGCCGTGTACAAGACTCAAGAAAGGATCTGGCGCTATTGTGCGATCGAAGAGGAATGTGTATCAATCGAATTTCGCGATCAGATGAATTTCTTTTAAGGTTCACCGGATAAATATACATGATCTCTGATAAGGTGTGTGAACATCTCCCGTAAAATGATCGGAAACATTCATCTCAAGTAAGATCGTTTCCCCCGAGTGTTCCACTGTACACAAGTGAAAAATGTATTCAATGTTAGATCGATAGATTCAGGAGTAATTTAACCGCTGCATGTGGCGGAAACTTCGAACCGAACGCGTTAAGATCAAATTGGAGATTCAAAATTCATATTTGTTGCTTATATGGCCTATTACATGGAACTTACGAACGAATTTTGGTGCGCATACACGTGTGTCGCATGTGCACGCTTGCAAACGAAAGAAAAATAAATGACAATATACGTATTTTCTTTACGCTTCCGTTTTGGCGAGCGTTGTATACTTCTCCTTTTATTTTTGTTTCTTTTTCATTCGCGACGTTTCGAACGCTCGATCTGCCGCTTGTTCTTCTTTAATTCGAGCTTAAAAAATGTATAAAGATAACGTGTATATGTGTGTGTGTGTGTGTGTGTGTGTGTGTGTGTGTGTGTGTGTGTGTGTGTCTGCTGTGTACCTGTGTATCTTTAGTCGAACATGAGAAGAAAAAAATGAAATTACTTCTCGGAAGGGGGATGAAAAATAAGTCGCGATTATGGCAAGTAACATCACGATAGCGAGTAGCTATGTAGGAGCTCTTACGAAAAGTTTTCAAACTTCCGACAAATCTCTTATAAAAATGATATGATATGCTCGTTGGAAAAATAAATTGTTCATATAGTTTCTATGAATATAGATATCCGTACACAAACGTTTCAGTACTAAATATTTGATCGGTCGGTATAACTCTAAATACATAAATACATACACAAGATCCTTTCATTACTTCGTAGCGAGTATAAACGCACAGTCAATTAACGAGATCATTCATCGAGAATTAATACCCTGCCGGATCATTGCACGTGCGTGGCATTTTTTTCCTTTCGACGAACGATTTTTTACGTCCAACCCCGCCATCTGTCCACAGTGACGAAAAGTAGGATGCTTGTGTGGTTGTGGACACGTTATCACGGTGCGCGCGCGTTTTTCTTCCAGGTGAACGTAGAAAACCGTTGGTCCAACGAACTGGCCGATATCTCTATGCGCCTGTGTCGCTTAATACCTATGCCATTATGACAGTTAATGTTTAAAATACAACAACAGTAGAGCAGTCGCTTCCGAAGAGCGACTATTAAAATATAGAGTAGAATTCAACATACTAATTTGCATAAAGGCACGTAAAAATCAGTTTCTCTATGAAAAGAGCGATTGCACAATAATTCTTTTAAAAAATAACAAACGATACCTCAGAGGTCGATCGCTGGGCATTATTTAGAATAATATCGTGTTTGTTCATCATCGTCGCGCGGATTGGTTGCTCACCACAGAATAATGACAGGACACTGTATGTATATGTAAGCACACGTGTCTCATGCACATACACATGTACCTCATACAGTCTGTATACGCATTGGGATACGCATACAAATCTATTGTATATGCATGCGCACACATGTATACGGATATGATATTATACCGTACTTAATGGCGAAGCACTATCGTAAAGATGCGCGGCAATGTCCTTACTAAGAGCTAAAAGTTTATAGATTGATTAGGAAGGAACATTGTGCAAATTATTACAGGTTTTACTTAAATAATAAAACTGTGAAACTGGGCAAGTATCGTACCATGGCCTAGGCTCAGCCCGATTCACGCGGCACCGATCCAGAAATATCTCCAAATATTCCCAATCGAACTCATGGTTTTGAATACCAATCATGAAAATGTATTTCCATCGCGAACAACACGGTTCTTTCGGAAGGAAAAAAAAAAAACAATATACATTTATGAGATCAAATGTTGACTTAAAACGTTTGTTTAAAAATAGGGAAGAGTAAGTTTGATTAAAATTAGAATTGCGTAAATTCAAATCACGTTATCGGGCCGTCCTGCGTATCAACGAGAATTATAATCAACGATAGCGAATATAGTCGGCGTTAGTAAAATTTATAATAGTAATAGTGGAATAGAATAAAATATTACAGAGTAAATGTCGAAAAAGACAATTAAGAGTATAAAAAAAGTTTCCTTGTCCTGCTACTACTAATAGTAAAAGTAATAATAGTAGTAACAATAGCAGCTGTAATAATAATATAATAATTAGCTGTAATGGGTGACAAATATAAATTAATTGCTGTCAATATTTACCGAGAAACTTCCCAGTAGACTTAAGTATTTCTTTTTACGTGTACCTTTGATCTACCAATGTCAGCGGCATGTTGTAGATACAAAGAGTCTAGCTATTCGATAAAGCGTCCCGCACTCTTACAAATTTTGCTGGCTTTTAAGGAGAGTACTAACTAGTTGATGCATTAACGTTTTACGATACCAATTGTCATGTATGGGGACGGATATAATACGACGCTTTCGCAGTTGCGCAAGAATATCGAATCGGTTTATCAAAAATTCAAATATCATTTCAGAGATACATTAACGTTCGACCGTTCACCGCATTCCATTTAAATGGTCCAAGTAAATACAATAGATGCTTGCTACAGGACAGCATATGCATTTTATATGCACTGCGAAGCGACACGAGGTAAAAGAAATAAACCGTACGTTTGAAGGGGAACAATGGGAAAAAAACAATGCGAATTAGTACTCCACTTAATCACCACACAAAGAAAGGGGATGGTGAATGCAGAGGTGAATAGTAATTTAAACATCACGATGATCCCATTCCAAGTCATGAGGTGAAGTGTGACGACGATGCCGACCGTTGCTTAGCTCGCAATCGTTTTCGCAGTCGGAGCTGTCCAGTTCGTCATCTCTGTATGATCCGTCTTCCGAGTCTGAGCTTCCAGAATCATCGACATCCTCGTCTCTCTGGCTCTGACGATGTGGATCGTGCTCCGTAAGCCTCTCCATTGGATTTACGGTAATAGCAAGCGCGGAATCGTCCCAAGCCATCTCAGTCTCGGCGGCCAATTCATCGCCGGCGGATCGTCGCCGTTTAGCAGCGCCCCTAACTCTGGCCGCTCCGACCACTGCCATCAATAGCAAGAAACAAATGCAAGCGGCGGCAACGATCGTCACAGCATGGCTACCACCTGCACCGAAACCTCGGTTCCCTTCGCGGAGGACAGTTGTCGCGTATTCTTCCGGCAAGTCCGCGTGATGGGGAGACAATTGTGAGTGACCGACAACCGGTTCCAGGATTCTAGCTATCGGTGGCTCGTCCGGAGTCGAGTGTGGGATGACCGTAGTTTTCTCTTTCGGATGAATCACGGCGAGTGTCTGCACGTACTCGTTGCTCGCGAATCGTCCGCTAAGCTCGGAGCAGGTTAATTTGAAGACGCGGTCGAGGTAGTAGGCTGGCTTACGGTTCGTGTACATAATCAAACGAATCAGTTGTTGATAATTGAACGGCGTATCAGCGCCTGAAAGCACAACACCGTCTCGATCTACACGCGCGGCGATAGAATTGAATCTACGGAGAGCGTCGCCAGGTAGGCCCAAGCTTTCGTGATCGGGGTTCAGGCTTGGGTAAACGCTGACCGCGCATGCATCCAACCTAGCCGCGGAGCCAGCAGTGACACGAGCATCCGGGAATACTCGCACGCCTAAACGGAAATCCGCATATTCCCTAGCTACGTAACCGGTACCGTTTACGGTAATACCCGGACGGGGCGGTGGCAGGACAGTAACATACGATTGAACGGTTGGCACAGGGAGCGGATTGTTCTCGCTGCCTTCGCACACGATCGTCGTCTCGAGACGGAAATTACGACGGCCCGGAGTCGGGAATCGTCTGGTGTTCGAGTAACCGATACGACGGAGAAGCGTTTCGACGTTGGTGCGATTGTCTCCGTCGATTCGTACCTCTGTCAAGTCGGAATTGGTGAGCAATTGGGTTCCCGGCTGGAGCAAATCCATCGACGGCACGCGAATCCCTTCCTGGCAACGGCGCAAACAGGACAGAACGTCTGGTTTCTCGTTTCGTCCAACCAGTACGGAGAGTCCGGCAAGATATCCACGGAAATGATGTTTCGTTTTGTTGTCGGAGCCTTGCCAGCATGCGCCAACGACCAGAGTCGTGTTTACACCCTTCGCGGGATGTAACGGCCAGTCGTCGATGACCTCGGGGTTCTTCTCGTCGGTGTGCCATTCCTCTCCGTCCACGTAGAGACTTACATGCGGGAAATCGACCTGGAGCGCATAATGATGCCACTTGTCGTCACAGGCTTGGCTAACTTTCCAGCGCCATTCGGCTGGCCGGAAAATGTTCGGATCGCCCTCCGAGAAATCACGCCTGAGCAGCAGAATCAGTCTGCAGTTTCTTATGAACAGAGCGTAATGATGCCTATTCATTTCTGGAATTCAGACAGTTGATCGTTTAGTTGGGGACTAAGTGTACCGTGCGCATAAAATTTTGCTAACAAAAGAATAGAACCAATCAGAAGACATTCACGAAGCATGAAAGAAACACTTACTGTGATCATCCGCAGCGCATAGAATATGTTCCTTAACGTGAGGATCTTGTCTGGGACGGGGCCTGTGTTTCACCCAAACTCCAATAGTGAACTTCTGCGCGAGGGAATGCTCGAGCACATCGCTGGGCACAATAGCGGCGGAATCGACGCCGTCGAACTCGAAGATTTCGTCCGCTTCCCTGCCCTCGTCACGCGACAAAGACGCCGTCCAGGAAGTCGTGGGCCCAGGAGTTGGCAATAAATCGACGCTGTCTCGTGACGCGCCGCATAATTTACGTTGGCTGCGTACGTCGTATGTGTCGCGGTCGCAACCTTTCCCTATATGGTCGGTGGCGAGGGTTAAGGTGGCTCTGACGTTGCGCAATATGCACGGGGCGTCGCAAAGATCCAGCCTGGCGGAGGGAAGCAACGGTTGAGAACCTACGCCCGCGGCATAATCAACCCTTTCTGGGATTCCTCTCCAGCCAGGCGCGCAGACACGGTTCACCTTGACGGTGACCATGGCTGGAGCGGATTGTTTCATGCCGCAGTCGTAGGCCACCACGCTTAAGATGTAATTGTGCGATCGTTCGTAATCCAACGGCTCAGTATTCCGGATGGCTCCCTCATTATCGATGATGAACGGCTGATCGGCGGTCAGGATCTCGTATTTGCATACATCACCGAATTTCGGGGTGCAGTCCCTGTCGGACGCCTCCACGCGGACAACTTCTTCGTACAAACGACCCTCGTCCACCGTGCTGACATAGGCTGGCTGCAAAAACTGCGGCGCGTACTCGTTCACGTCCACAACGGTGATATGCACGGTAGCGCTGAAATAAAATTGAAATGACAGTTTCCGAACATCCGTTCCGAAATAACGTGTTAACGGAATGATATTAATGGGTCTCCCTACTGTGACGAGTCAAAAATTAGGCGAAATTCAGGAATTTTTTTTTAAGAAAAAACTATCAGCTATGTCCAGGGCCGGCGCTACCATTAACCCAGATAAAACATGACGCCTTGAAAACGCCCATTTTACGGCTGTTTTAGGTCTAAGGCGCCTTTAAGCCGTCTTCAAGGCGTCATTGGACGTCATAAAAATTCAGCTGGTCTTATTGAACGGTGCAGCAGATACATATAATATTAAGGGGGTGATAACAGCCCCTAAAGTTAAGGGATGAAAATATACTTTTTAGAATATTTCGAAAGTCAGAGAAAGTAGAAGAAAGTTTGCTTTTAAATTGTGTTTTTAATCAAACAAAGAAATCAAATTTTTAATACAATATTTAAAGAAATAATTGTTTCTTCAATTTTTGTACGTGACTAGATTCTCCATTCAAAAACAGACAATTAAAAGAAAGAACTTTTTCTTACTCTCTCTAATTTTCGAAATATTCCAAAAATATATTCTCATCCCTCACTTTGGGGGCTGTTATAGACGAATAAAAAAATACGTGTCAAATATTTTTTGGAAGAGTATTTCCCATATAAGTTTCATTAAAGTCGGCGTGTGGAAGTTCGGTACGTTCCCCTGGAAACTATCGGAGAGAATCCCCTTGTTTATTTATACCGAACTCCACTTGCATAATACCATTGGTTTATTTTAGGTAAACCATTTAGTCTATTGAATTCACGATGGTTGAATTAATAGAGATAGAAACATGTTTCAAAACACTTATACGATAATAGCATGACAAAATAATGAGGCTCAATGCGTTAGAAAATGATATAGCTACCTACGTTTTCTGGTGTAACTCGAGAAAGAAATCACCGATCCACCTCAAATTTGTTGTGTATGTAGTCTAGATAATTATTGATAATACTAAAATTATCAGCAACTATTTAGACTACATACACAACAAATTTGAGGTGGAATAGAACAGAAAACGTAGGCGGCTATATCATTTTCTAACGTACTGTATATTGGTCATTAATTTCGTATCAAAATACATCGATTCCAGAAAACACTGGAACTAAATATTTAAAAGTCCAAGATTATAATTTTTAGCAAAGGTGACTGTAGAAACTTAAGAACTTGGAAGTTTTAAAACAACATTGCAAGTTTTTTTCCAGCAAACAATTTTTAACCATCTTTACTGAATATTTTGGGTTACTAAAAGACATAAGAATGCACTTGCAGCTGAATTTGATTTTAAAATATTTGAATATCCAAATTTGTCCATAGTACTATGAATAAAAATTAATAATACTATATATACACCATGTTTAACGATGTTTACAAAATTTTGTAGTTATAGCTACAATTTTTTTTTCTTGAATTTTTTGGCTGCCTATTCATCACGAAATTATTAACAAAATCATATCTAATTGTATTACTGCCTTGATTTTATAATAGTTTCTTATAAGTAATACTATAATAGTATTCTTTATAATAGTTTTTTTTTAGTATACTTAGTTTGAATCTCACTGTATATACATGTATATATACAACAAGTATGTATACAGATGTTATAGATTTGATAATGAATATAAAATAAATTTCAAAACAATTTCGTGTGGGAAAAAAAGCATGACGCATACCCAAGAAGATAATATAATTGATGGATTAGAGAATATTTCGAGAAAATACAATGTTGTTGAAAATAAGATGCGACGCACTTGCCATAGAAAAAAAAACCATCTTGTCACAACTGTTGAAGGCGTAGGAAAATTATTTCAATTTAAAAAAAAAAAGAACTTTACACTAGAGGGGCAATTTTTTGTTATGGTTAAAAATAAAAAGGTATGCGACTTGCCCAACAAAAAGGACTCCATCTGGGAAAAGTATCATATGGTCTGATGAGTTGAAATTCGAACTATGAAACAAAAAAAAGGCAAGAAAGACGGAGCGTGGGTGTAAATCGCCGAACCGCTTCAGTATCCGAAATATTCAGTCGGGCGTTAAACAGGGTGGCGGCTCGATACCGCTTCGGGGTTGTTTTTCTGTGAAAGGCTTCGTGAATTTAGTAAAAGCTGACGGAGCAATGGCCGAGAGGGGCTATCCATAGGGATGTTCCGATCCAAGTAAATACGAGTAAATATTCGATACTTTCTTTTCGATACCGAGTATTTTTAGTATCGATAATTTTGGTTGCGATACCAACTAGGTATCGAAAAGAAGTACTCGTATCGAATGAAACGAGTATCGATACGATCAACACTTTTTGTAATCACCACAAAAAACTAGCAGTAGATCGATAAAAAAAAACTAATAATTAAAAGATAATCAACTATCAAACCATTTATCTTCCCCTGTTTCTGTGTTGCACTCTTCTCTTTTAGAAGAATGGGAAGATATAAAAACAATGTATCCGTTATCATATAAGCAAGCACGAATGTTCCTGGTAGTAGTTGCTTCTTCTGTTTCTTGTGAACGGTTATTTTCAAAGGCGGGAGCAACAGTTACCCAGACTATGTAGGAATAGACTGACAGGCAAACATTTAGGAAAATTATTGTTTTTGGAGGATATATCAGAAGAGGCATTTTTTTTATTAAATACAAAAATAAAAGAAGAACGTGATTTAAATTAAAAACCAGATATACATATTCGTTCCGCTTTTTTATGAAGTCACAACACACACTTCAAAACCACAGGGACAAAGGCTTAAAAAAACCGTTTATCTGATATTTAAAATAAAAACTAAAGACATAGGTCAACGTGTATTTGAAGCGGCATGTGTTAAAAGGATCCAAGTGACATCTTTTCTAAATATAACTTTATTCCATAAATATTTGATATACTGGATATGTTTGAGGTTGTTCTACGTACTGTGCAAGCTGGATTAATTTATAAATCAATGCACATTCGTGTGACATCATGGAACAATTATATAAAAATAATTGATATCTCTTTAAACAAAGAATACGTCTTTGTCGAAGATTTGCAAATAGATAATTGCTTCAACGCCTTTACCTCTAATACTTTTGTATGCAGAATGTCCCGGAAAATAGATTTATGTGAACAGATTCATAATTATACTATTAGAAAATGTCCGACTGCAATTTCCCGGAATGTATTTTTGTTCTACTTACGGATGTAATAACTAGATAAAAAAAGACACCTTATCAAGTAATTCGATTGATTCTTTGCTTTTATTTTTTTCGTTTTTTATTTTATCTTATCTTCAATAAGACAATGTCAACTGCGTGACTCGTCTTGTATATCAAAACTATAATCGAACAAACTTAATATGTACTTGTTGAATTAAATGGTGAAATAAACCACAGGAGGGGAAGTATGAAAGATTAGTGTAACGTGGATGTTTCGCACGTAGCTGAATATTACATGTTTCTTGTTCGATAAGTTTTTTTAGTAGGGGAGACCGGCGTAGAAAATAACCGTTTTTGGTTTTCATGAAATAAAAAGGTCTATATTACAGCTAGATATTTAATGTTAATTTATACAGATAGGTTGGAGATTCAAGATTGGTTCTGTAGTGATGTAATATTTTTAAATTAATTGTTACAAATATTATGACCGCGGAAAATTGACCGTACTGGATTGTTACTTTTTGCCCCACCTTGGGGTAAGAAGTAACAACGCGGGTGTAAAGTTGTATCACAAATCGATTAAGCAGAATTGTACACAATGAAAGACAAACAATAACTAAAACTAACTGATAATTACAAAGAATCAACATAACGTTATAGTTTTTTATTTAATTGGCTCAACACAACATTATTTCTTAATCAATAAGTACCCAACATAACATAAATTATTTTTTTATAATTAGCACAACATAATATTATCTTCTTAATAAGATCAATTGTCATAATTAATAATTATCATAATTTGTTGATAATTAGTCATCACAGTGCTGTCTTTTTTATTTAAAAAATTTTAAGCCCTGCTACAACCTTCCCCTGTTACCGGGTTAAACCCGGTCTCCCCTACCTACTACATACTGTGTAAACCTGAAATTTCAGACGATATAAGACTTCCAATAAATCTGAAGACAGCATAAAGAAGTATACGTTTCCTCTGATCGCACTTGTGATATAATACCTCGAGTATGTTGTCCGTAAATACGGCAAAAAAAGGGTCTTAAGGAAATCTACTTACGTCAGTAAGGTAATGACAAATGATTGCATACATAGAAGACTACTGAAATTATCTAAGAAAACGTATATGGGGGTACCGGGACAAACTGAGCCTTGGGGTAAACTGAGCTCTTTTAATTACTTATTTGAAAATAGAATGTATTTATAAATTCTTGTAACATACTGAAATTATATAATATAACGATGATAATTATGCACATTCAGGTACTAAACAATGTAAATTCATTTAAGAGATTAAGAATTAAGTTTTAGGTACCTCCGAATGGTTTTTTTGTCAGATTAGCTTTTTGGATGAATGAGTCATAAACATACTATTTTAACACAAACATTTTTTCTGTGTGTTTAAAACAAGCTTGTAAACATATATGTACATGCGTTTTAAAATAAAATAACCCACATATTATTAAATAAACGATTTTCCACTGAGTATGTATTTGGGGTAAAGTGAACTAAAGAGCGAGAAAAGATACGCGTGCGCGAGTGAAGTGTACAATAGCTTAACCTTGTCAGCTATCGCGAAACCACGCAAAACTACGGAAGTTGCAGCTTGCGCTGATAATTATTTATTTTCTATGTAGAGATCTCCAAGGTAATATAAATTAATTTTTTCATTAAAAATTGCTGCAATGAGAAATGGACAAACTCCCTACCTGCCAAATTATTCCAAATAAGGAAAGATATTTATAATAACGGATGCTCCAATATTAGTCATAGAAAAGTCCAAGCAATCATTACACGACTTAGAATTGGTCCCCCAAATATTTGACACCGCTATAAAATCACAAAGAGTCCTTCAATTCTTTGTAATTTCTGTAATCTAATACTACGTATGTATTCCGTGTTTTGGAGCCGTTGGGCACGGCTAACAAGAAGAACTAGGATTATTCTGTGCATTTATTACTTTGAGTTTTAGTCAATTCAATCGAAACGAACCGTTCTACGATAAAAGCGATTCAACGACAAAAAATAATATCATGGCACCTCGTTTTATTAGCAGTTCAACGACCAACAATCGGAGTCTCTGAAGCGATAAGGCACTTGTTTGAAGTTTTTCTAGTAAATTTCCTGTATCAAAGAAAAATAGTTTGGAAATTGTTTTATAGTATTTACTGTATGTTGATGAGAATATTACGAACATACTAAAGAAGATCTGTGGATAAAAATTTTAATTTGAAATGTAAGTATAAATACTTATAAAACAGAGATATTAATAGAATTCATTTCGCTTCAGACGAACCAAATTGTAACTTCATTAGGTATTAACAAAGTATTTTCGTTATTCTTGCTCTTTAAAAGACAGGTATCGGTAATCTATGTGAAAATTAAATAATGATAGTCACAAATTCATGTTTGTGCTATATGGCTAAATATGAAAAATAATAACAAGACTTGCAGCAGTTAATCTCACGTTATTCTTAACTTAAAAATGATTGAAACAAGGTATGAAAATATTTTCACCCTTTCGATTAACTGATATTACTTTCGAAGTAATGTCAGAAGCAAAATAAGCACAAATCAATTTTTATTTTATGAAACCGAAGCTTGGTCGAGATTTTCTCGTGTTGAATAAACGAGAATGTATACATACAGGGTGTTAATTTTAACTCGAGCACCTAAATTATTTCCACTACTATTGAAAGTAAAAAAAATAACCAAATAGGATGTACATGGTTTTAAGGCGTGCATTTCATGGTGATAAAAAAATTTTGTGAAGGTCATTTTAACGGCTTTTTCAAGGTCATTGTATTTTTCTTGCTTATTAACATGTATTCTTTATAACGCGATACGGTAGTCAGCGTCAACATGAGTTCAACGACCTACACCATGATCTTCAAGTGACCTTGAAGGCGAATAAATCAGCTTCAGTTTGAAGAATGCAGAAGTAAATAAACGTACTAAGAAGTAAAAAATATTTTATCACCGTCAGATGCACGCCTTAGAACCATGTACATCGTATTTAGTCATTTTTTCTTACTTTCAATAGTAGCGGAATAATTTAGGTGCTTGAGTTAAAATTAACACCCTGTATAGGAAGGATAACCCCTCGGGCAAATATTCGAGCAGAAAGTGGGACGAACATCGAGGAACTACTGTACCATTAAAACAGCTTTTGAAGGGATTTACTGAAAGGTTCGTTTATTAACGAAATTTTCGAATTTTGAACAGTCGAAATGAACAGCTCGTAACAGATTAATAGAAAGTACAAAAAGTCTGAAACTGACTCACGGGCTACTCAATTATCCCGTCAGCGTGCAGATGAGTCGAAACTCGATACTGGTCTTAATGGAGTAGAAGCCTCGTTAACCATATGCTATCGGAATATTCTACGGTGCGGTCAGTAAATGTTCTTCTTATCGTTATAAAAATTACGTGACCAATAATAAAAAATACGTAAGTATGTACAGTAGGGTGGCTCTTATTTCCGATTTTTTAATTTTTTTCGCGGCTCCCCACAGCATAGTTTCAATTAATAAAAAAATAATCTGTGCAAAATTTGAGCTCGATCGAATTTTGTCGCATTTCTCCATAAATGAAGATCATATCGACTTGCTCTTCGAAAGAAAACTTCATTTTGATGACCACGCAGCTACTTGACTCAGCAATCAACTGAGACTGACTACCGATTCATGTGAATGTTACGAACTGATGAGATGTTTACATTTCTAGCTATACGCGATGTATTGCCACAACATAAACAATGTTAGAAGACCATTCGTTTATGTAAAAGTGAGGGTCTATGAAATAATACAGCATGTGCTAGAATAAGTTCAGAAACGATAAGACATGCACGTGATGCAGCTCCTGTAATGTAAGAAAGTTTATTTTACTACCACATTTGACCTTGCATGACCTTCAACGACAGCTCGCTGAGGTCGTCTCAACACCGGCTATCACATTGCGATAAAAAAAACATAGCATTCCATTAAAAAAAATAGAGATGACCTTGAAATCTCCTCTATGCATTCACTCACGCAGAAAATGTTTGTGTCACAATATGCCCCCCTCTATACCATGTAAGTTTTGTATATAACATTTTTTCATATTATTACAAATAACGGCAATATTAAAAGTGGACATAGTTATTGCCCCACCCTGTATAACTCCAATTTGTCTAGGTACATAATTTTGAAAATAAAAAGTACCTTGAAGATAAATTTTCTATTGAAACTTAAAATCCAGGAGGTTATATCCGGTAATAAGCTAGCAAAACTTCAGCAACGTGGGAATATACGATCGCGTAAAATTGTAGGAAAATCGTTCCATGTACGCTATTACGCTTTGAAATACCGAATATTTGAGATCAGAAAGGTGAAGTTTGCATACTAAGCGTTTCCATTACTCGCGGGAAATTATACATTGTCATAATAAATTGGTTCAAAGTTCTTCAAAATCAATTGTTTGTTTTCTTAAATGAATCCAATATCGGATATTTTACGTTTAAATTCCTGATTAATAGTAACTCACATTTCTCATAAGAAGTATCTCCTCATAAAGTGAGCACTGAACAAAAGGAAGCAAAATCCAAATACGTTTACGAAGAATTCTTTGCTTCAGTGCATTTTGAATTGTGCAATAATAATACAAATGTACCCGAATTTTATCTTCAATCCATTACAGATGATAAAGATTAATAAAATCTTATAAAAAGTTTAAAGTTAGACAGTTCTAGAGCAAAAATGTAATATTATCCATTCCCGAAATTGTTACCTTCGCATATAAACAATTAGTAGACTGTTCATCTTTACTTCAAATATTTTTTAAATTAATTCAGAAAGACAGAAATGGAACAGAGTTTCCTTCCTCCTTTTAAGGATGGTTTTGGTCTAAAAATAAATTGGGAATTTAAGTGTATTTAATCCGATGGATGTTTTGCTTCTTATTGTATTCGATATAGAGTACTGGTCCTTATTCATTTGCCATTGAGCCGACTTACTCATTAAAATTATATTGGTTTTTTAAACGTTTTTATTGATTGAGACACATTTTCGAGTTGCAAAAGGCTACTTTTTTATTATTTCTTAAATAAAATAAAAATACATGTTTTTGTCCCAGTTAGTGTGCTTTTAGAAGTGCTGTGAATGGATTAATACGCATTCAGTTAATGTGCCTGTCCACAACTGTGTGTTCTCAATAAATGTGCCTCGTCCTGAATACAGTAAATTTTCGATGAGTGTTCCAAGACTCCTTGACATTGACAAGGAGAGGTCCCCAGGTGTAGCGGTGACTTTTTAACAAGTTTTATCGAATGGCCATTAGTTTATGAAATATTTCATGTTCAGTGCCGTGGAGCTTTCGATCCCTTATCGAGGATTTACTGTAGTGTCCCTGCAGTTAAGGTGTTGTCTAAACTTTAAATTCTCTAAAAGAATATTTTAAGAACTAATATTACCACATATTTGAAGATTGGAGTCTCCCCTTTACAACGACCCCTACAAAATTGATGTACGCTTTTTTGTCGCTGTTTTATTGAAAGTTGAATGAAAAGTGCACTGCACGGGCTAGTGATTTTAGAATCTCAAACAAAATCTTCAATGCCTGTAGAATCGGGTGAATTCGAAAAATTTTCGAAACAAAAAAGCATTTTCGTTTTTCAGTTTTCCACGCGATACAGAAATATCTGTTGGGTGAAAAACTACAAAGGGTGCTGCAAGTAGCGACTTTATGCTTTAAAATCAGCACAGAATGATTGATCTATGATTTTTTTGTAATGAAGTTATAACAGTTTAATGTGCAGATTAGTGTACAATATTTTCATTTATAACACGTACATTAATAATTAATCTCCATTTTCAAAAAGTTCCCTCAAGCTTTTCTCCCACAGCTTATTTATACAGGGTGTCCCGCCTGATTCAGCCACCCTTAATTATTCTCTTATTTATCACGGTACAGAAAAATGGTTCGGGAGAAAGTTAGTGTATTTTAGGGGGGCAATTAGGCCATAGCCTCTATGATCTCGCCCTATCGCATAAGATTGAAGGTCATCTCAAGGTTATATCTTTTGAGATTTCTGTATTGGTAACCTTTTTTTTAAGTGGAATGCCCTATTTTTTTATGCCATTACAAAGAGGAGATCAAAACGTATCCAACAGTGTATCACACTATGACCATAAAATGATCTTGGGCTGAAAATTTCGCACGTAACTGGTTGAATTGGAAACTAACAGAAAAATTGTAGAAACAAAATTAACGCCGTGATCGCATTATTTATTATTTTAGTGTATGTTCAAAGTGTTGTCACCCTATAGTGTGATACATTATTGGATACGTTTTGATCTCCTATTTGCAATGGCAAACAAAAAAATAGGGCATTCCATTTGAAAAAACATTACCATTGGAGAAATCTCAGAAGATATGACCTTGAGATGACCTTCAATCTCATAGCCCAATTCCCCCCCTAAAATACACTAACTTTCTCCAAGACCATTTTTTTGTACGGTGACAAATAAGAGAATAATTGAGGGTGGCAGAATTCGGTGGGACATCCTATAAATAAAAAACATATACATAAAAAAATGTATATAATAAAGCCACACTGATAGAGACAGGCCAATTAATGCGAACCAATGCCCTAGTCCCGTATTCTGTGAACGCATATAATCTGCAGTCTGATGATTAAAATGGAAATTGAACCGTGCGAGCTCCAACAATGGTAATAATTCGTTCGAGTTTTAGTAAAAGCTAAAATTTTAGACTTATCCTGTACGACTCATACTTTTCCGATAGAGCGCCATTGCAGCCAACTGCCTCGATGTCGAACTTGTAGTTGCGCCGTTTTTCACAGTTCAGAACTCGGAGTGCTCTCAGCTCCGCAATTCCTTTCTCTTTCAAAACAATCTCGAAGGGTGCTTCGCCGTGATGTTTGTTCGCGATACGGAAGGAGCAGACTTTGGCACCTAAAGCTCGTATTTGTGGCGTGACCTCGACTAGAGTTTCGTTTTCCTTCACCAGGCCGTGATATCCGCTTTCAAGACTATCCAAATCCAATCGTGGCACTGTGAACACAACAGAATCACATATAAGTTAGGAGAATCAGTGGATATTAGGTGTATTAACGAATCAGGCTTCGGTATTATTCAAAAGTGTTCTAAAAATGATTATTCCAATAAAATTTTATTGTATTTTACACTATCCAAATTTAATCGTGGCACGGCGACCATACATCTTTTTACTCACATTGAACTTGACAAGCAGTAAATATTAGGTGCATTGGCGTAACTAGGATTTTTTAATGTGATGGGGCCAGATCCACTGACTTAGCATCAGACACCTGTACGTATTTTATACCATGTACGTGGGTTGCAGAAAATAAAGTTACACATTTTACAATAATTATTTACATATTTATTTAACACCAAAACTAAGAATAGAAAGATATAAACCAAATGTTTGAAAATAAAAAAAATTCGAGATTGATTAGTGCAGATACCTATAGTTAAAATCTATTATATATAAGCTTCAATTTGCTGATTTTTTCTGCAAAAATATTTTTCACATTTTCAATCGCTAGTCCCCTTATTGCATCCGTTCCTTCAATTGATGTTACAGGATTATTAATGACAGTAGAATATTAAAATTATAGAGCTTAATTCTAGTACAATTTTACTTAATACTTTCACGTAATGAGAACAGTATTGTATTTTTTTGTATTTAGTTGCGTTGCGTTGCATTTCGACCCAAGTATTTATTTTTTATAACAGAAGGTTTTAGTAACTGACGAATGTTTTTTAGATATTTGAATAATTTCTGGACGGGAAGGGGGGGGGGGCAAGCGCCCCTGGCCAACGAATCAGGTTTCGGTGTGATTTATAAAAAACAATTTTAGTTTAAGATTATTAGTCATGTACAATTTTATCGTATTTGTGATTATACAAATCCAATTGTGGGCATAATACACATAGCCACATATGTATAGTTTCAGAACCAGTGGAGATTATGTGTACCAACAAAATGAAGATAATAATTATTACATAAACTAATACATACATATACATACATATGTATTATATACATATAGAGCATATACAATGCTTGTAATATAATAAATAGATTGTGAAATTCATGTATTTACAACATTCACGGTTCTCTGATAATTCAGTGTAGTAAAATATTTAGATTAGTTTAATGAAGTTTGTACTTGAAACCAGATAGAAACCGCAATAGAGTATAAGCCCAGATAGCACATGACGCCTCGCGGCGCCTTGAAGACGGCTTAAAGGCGCCTTAGACTTGAAATAGGCGTAAAATGGGCGTCTTTAAAGCGTCATTGTTATCTGGGAGTAGACTTCTGTTTCATTTAATCGTTGCGGTAAATTAGTTTCCAAATATTCTAATTACTTTATGTAAATTTCTTTTTGTAAAATTTCAAAAAAGATTTTTCTAAAAAATTTCAAAGGACATTAAATGTGTCGTAAGAATATAATTTTCTGTAGTGAAATAATGGAATCAAAAACGTGCGAACAATACCACCTTTAAGAGATAACGAAACCAACGTTAACTAAATATGTATTTCACAGAAATAAAATATTATTTCTTGTAGTCTTGGCAGCAGTATACAAAATTCGACTACTACATATAATAATGATTTAACTACGTATAGATATTTAGTTCAAATATTTGTTGAAAATATACAACAATAATCGATAATAGTTTCCATATTGAGGATAATATCTGTAAAGTCGAAAAGAATTATACAACGATAATCACTATTTATAAGTATACATATGTTCTATTCTATGAAATCGAACACTGTGGTGTGTTATTCAATAACAAGGTTCACGCGAAAACTATATAACATAACGGAACGATGCAGGTAGCATTTTATTCGTAAAAAGCGTAAGTTTCTAAGAAAACGGATACAAGGAATAATAATTATCCGTATTTACGTTAACGTTTTAGTAAAAATTATATAACTTCTTCATTTTGGTTTATTTTAACAGATTAAAAATTAGATCTATCAGAGAATAAGATTTTTTTTAGTATTTTTATGTTAATACACGGTATTTTCACGCTTACGTTATCAATTTCTGTAAATGTTAATAATCTCCGTAAAAATGAGAATAAACGTTGATTGAAGTGTGTATAATATGTATTTATTATTTTCTTTATTACTCATAAGTGTATAGCAATTACATCAGCAGTACATGACATACCTTAATTACATTACAGATAATTTCTGTACATACATACGATACAATACATATGTACGAATAACAAAATAAATGTACGTTGTTGTTTCAGAGGTCAGACCAGTATAACATTGAAAAAAAATCAAAATTTTTGCCGCAGATTTCAAAAAGTAGGGTACACCAACCAATAAATGACCGAATTGTTGAATTTCTGATACTTTAATGTATTTATTTATAACAACAAAACAGCTGTTGAAATTACAATTAAATTTATTTTCCTTGAAATTTTTATTAAAAAAATTACTTATCCTTATCGTAATTTTTTTTAAATTACTGATAAAGTGCGAAACGTGTAAAAGCCCAGTAAATGACTGCTACATTTTTGAAACATTTTTAATAAGAATTGTACTTACCAATGTTCGCTTAATACCCTAAACTAAAAATATGTGATATTAAAAGTGCAACAACGCTCCATTTATAAACATTTCATAATTTTTAAATTTATAATTTACATGTCTTCCTTAATGGTCATTTAGTGGTATGCAGTCAATTTTACTGGTTGATTTACCCAGCTACCGTCTTAAAAATATGTTTCTCAAATGTTTTTTTTTAATGCTTAAAATGATTGTGATACACAAGTTTCAAGCGAATTCTCTTCGCAGTTTTTTCGAAGCCATGTTTTTCAAACTGGCGTGCAAGATAAAGTCAATAAAAAAAAATAATTGACGGACCGACTTGATACTTTGCTTCCTTATAGTAGACATATGTTTTTGGAAGACGAACCTCAAAAATGAAGAATAACATAATACGTTACATTTTTTGTATTAGTGCGAAGAAAAAAAAATGGAGATTTTAGTACATATCTGCTTTTCAAATCGCTACTGTTCTAGCGATTTTAATTTTAAAATTATAAAGTTAGGTTCATCCTCCAACTACAAGCATACGATTTATCATCGAAATATTTGTTCGTTTTTTTATTTCAGATCACCAGAACAACCGTTATCATGCTCGCCAATTGGAAAATTATACGTTTAAATTAATTTAAAAAATTCTAATTAATAGTTTAATAGTATCATAATGAACATAAAAAGTTTCAAAAGATTCAGTTGATTCAGTTTTGGACAAATAATTCGTAAAAATACGCTCCCTTTCAGAGCGTTACACTGGTCTGATCCCTTATTATGTAGTAGGGAAATAATATTCTTCTCCTCCTGATAAAATTAACGTTCTTAAAATTATTTATCCTTTTGGCTTGTACAACAAGTTCAGTTTTCACATTCATTAAATAATTGAATAAAACATGCACTTTTTATAACATAATAAATTAACACGATGTGATATTTATTAAAACCGATCGATCACTCGTTAACAACACAATAAATCTTTTAATGATTATCTTTTTTTATTAAGACGACTTATGGAATAATTTTTAGTCAGATAATACGAAGTTTAACTACATCCAAAAGTATCAATATCAAAACATATAATCGTTCACCATTTACAGTGACAATATCATTTGATTGATGTAGTTATCGATAAGTATTGTATATATTTACTGGAATTGCGTTTGAATGCTTCTTAAACTTTACCAACGGTCGATTCAGCGTAATTACTGGCTCAATTATAAATATCTTAACACAGCCACCATTATCGTCGCATCAAAGAAAAAATGAAATTAACTTTCGAGCTGTGACATTATTTTCGTCCAAACGCATTATGATGTCATCATTACGCAAGCGGTATCGCATCGCTGTAACAAGTTTCTGAAAATAAATCTTCTCGCTTTCATGGTACAAAAGGATACGCAGATTTACCGTATAAATAATTCTTGCGTCACCATCGAACGACCATTATGGGATCGTCGAAGGAACACGGTGAATTATTCGAACAGGACTTCTCCTCGGAGGGTCACAAAAATATCACACAGTGTGACACAATTTCGCAACGTAATCCCACCAGAATTTTCTTTTCGGTTGAACTGATTTCGGGAAAAGAAACCTAGGACCTACCGAAATAGACTGGAAAACTTCGTGGAAACTAGAGATGCTCCGGGTCTCGACCCGACGCAAAATACAATAATTAAACATCCAGGATGTCACGGACGTAACTTCATCAACTGTTTTAAGGTGGTTCGTATGTGACTCTCTAGTCAATAAACCATCATATTACCTAATAATTGGTATTAAACACCCGCTAATACACTTTAATAATGTATAAACATTACATATTTGAAATTCAACGTCATTTACATTCATCATTCATCATTATATTGTAAATAAAAAATATATTTTGGTTAGTCGCATGATTTCAGTGTGCTCGTTTCTGGTACGTTTGGCAACATTGTTTTTGCACGCATATCTATACAAGGGTGGTCCACGTAATTGTTTGAGGTCATAATTCCGTTACTAATGCATTCATGAAAAAATGCCAAAGGAGAAAGATAAATAGCTCGATAAAGAGCATTACATCTGTAGGCCCTTAGATTTTGGTTAAGTGCAATAGTGCCTGTGCAATTAACAATTGCATCGTTTCTTTAAATGGAAATGCATATTGTTTGTTGCACAGATCGATTCCTCTATGCATTCTACGTAAAAAATTATTAGGGCAAAAAAATGTGGCAACAAAATTATTAGTTCTCGAGATATTCTCAAAAATGCCTTTATTGAAGAAGATGCTCAAACGCTTCTCCATGACATTGTAAACATTTCTGTAACGTTTTTTTTTTATTATTTTCATATGTTTGTTTAAATTATCTACGTTATTTTTTTTACGTTTACTACATAGTCATGATGGGTTTGAGCATCTTCTTCAATAAAGACATTTCTTTTAAATATCACGAGAATTAATCATTTTTTTGCCATGGTACC